TTCGTGCTGCCAGCTCGCGCCCGGCATTTGTTTGCGCTGGCAGCTCGGGCCCGGTGCGCGAGTGAAACCGAACCGTGACAAAGGCTTTCGCTCTTTAGTGCTATTGACTGGCTTTTCATACGATGCCTATTGATGTCTAGAGACATGCTGTCTAGCCTTCCCCTAGTACGCATTCACGGGGCTTTGTTGAAGTTCGTGCCGTGAACTGCCAAAGGGAACTGTTTGAATGGTGCTGGGGCGAGTGCGACATTACGGCGTCCCTGCAGCCGGCCTAATCGCGTTTGTCGCCACAACCGATTTTGTGGTGGGCAGAGGCCCTGATCATATGGAATAGGAAGTCATTCTTCCTGGTGGATGAGTGGACGCCAGCCCCCGACATGCAACTACAGACTGATGCCAGCGGCACTCACGGTTATGGTGCCTTCTACAACGGCCGGTGGCTGAGAGGAGAGTGGACAGCCCAGAACGAGAACGAGAACATTGAGTTCAAAGAAATGTATGCTATCATAGTTGCCTGCGCGACCTGGGGTTCGGAGTGGAGCAGGCGACGCATTCAGTTTCAGTGTGACAACAAGGCCGTGGTGGACTGTATACGCTCCGGTACCTGCCGTTCACCGCCAGTCATGACACTTATCCGGGCATTGTATCTGCTGTGTATTGAGTAGGGGTGAAACGGTTCCATGTTTTTCATGTTCGGGTACCCGAATGCCAGCATTGTTTCCCACGGTTCGGGTATCGGTTCCATGCACTCTTTTCTCCAGACCGACAAAATGCGTTCGCGACAATTATTTTTTAGAAAAAACATTTTTACGAGCAAGAATGAGACATCGGAGAGTCCAAGTGCGAAGAAGATAATGACCAGAGAACTCTTTGGAAGAGTGGGGATCGTAAGGTAAGACAATTAAAATCTTGAGTAGACTTGACGTGTACATGTATTTGTACGAGAACGAGATTTTTCGAGTTTCGGTTCGAAATTTGACGGAACGGGTACCCAATTCTTTTCAGCTGGCGGTTCCAAAACCGGTTCCTTACCCGAACCGTTTCACCCCTAGTATTGAGCATGACTTCTTGGTATCAGCTGTCCACATTCCTGGTGTCACTAACACTGTCGCCGATGCATTGTCTCGCAATTTGCTGCAGGTATTCAGGCGCCAGGCCCCGGAAGCAGCAGCCGAGCCAGATCAGCCAGTCTTGCCAACTCTCCGCTGACAGACTCCGTGCTACAGCTAGCAGCACTGGCAATAGCACCATCCTCCCGCCGGACGTATTCTACCGCCGAGACCCGCTACTTCCAGTTCTGCCAAGTGCATGCCTGCAACCCATTGCCGGGCGACGACTTTACTTTGTGCTATTTTGCTGCCGAGTTGTTCAGGACTCTTCAGCCTCGATCTGTCCGTGTCTACATGTCGGCAATCCGCAACCTTCATGTGGAACTTGGCTTTGCTTACCCGTCGGGCCCAACAACTCTCCTCGCTAGGGTCCTGCGGGGCATCGACAGGTCGTCATCGACACAGCGTCATCGTCTGCCGATAACCACTCCACTTCTCAGGGAGATCTGCCGGCATGTTGCCGTTCCACGCATGCGGCACCCTCACGACAAGGCCATGCTAAGGGCAGCTTTTTCCTTGGCGTTTCATGGGTTCTTCCGTTGTGGAGAACTGACTGCTGGCCTGAGGCGATGTGATGTGACGATCAGTACTGACCAGCGGTCGTTATCGGTAAACGTGCGCTCATCTAAGACGGACCCCAACAGCACGGGCCACACAGTATTGGTTGGAGCCAGCACGGACGCACTGATCTGCCCAGTGCAGGCCATGGCAAACTACCTGGCGTTTCGCCCCGGCGGCGACCATCTGTTCACTTATGCTAATGGCCAGCCGCTTACAAGAAATGCAGTGTCCTCTGAACTGCGCAACCTGCTGCCACTCTGTGGGGTCGCGGACCCGAGTGCATATGCCAGTCACTCTTTCCGGATTGGCGCCGCAACATCAGCGGCCATGGCAGGTGTCCCCGAACACATCGTCCGTATCATGGGCAGATGGCGCAGTGATGCGGTCCACCGCTACATCCGGTCTGCTACAGCTGACACCCTGCGAGTGTCACGTCAATTAGCTGCAGTTCAAAGTCATCAATGGTAGCTGCGGGTTAGTGACCACATTGTGCCTGAACTGCTTAGCTTTAGCTTTACATTGCTGCTGTCAGTACAGCACAATACACCAATCGTATTTCATTATTACTCTCATGCCATATTGGGGATATTGGGAACGGGCAGTCTATCTCCGCAGCTGGCTCCTTTCAATCACTACCGGTCGCAGCTCCTGCCCACGGCAGGCCGACCGTCTCTCGTTCACACTCTGTGTGCTCCAGGTCACAGCTCCTGCGCAGAGCAGGCCGACCTGTCTGTCTCTCTCTCTCACACACACAATGTGTGCACCGGGTCACAGCTCCTGCGCAGAGCAGGCCGACCTGTCTTTCTCATGCACGCCAGCTGCTCCGCCCAATATCCCTGATATGCCAACCAGAAAACAATGTGTTCTGAGCCGGGTGCATGCCTGTATGTGGAGAGTGCGTTAATGGTGGTTTAGCGTGTGCGCTAAGCCCTGTTAACGAACGTGGAACATCTACCACTCATACTTAGTCTGATGATCATGCATCTGATTATGATGTCATTGCTATACATGCGCATGTGCAGCGCGCGCCACTCTCCCACGCGTGCTTTCCAAATCTTGCTTTAGAGAGAGAGAAAGAGAAAAGAGAGACTCCTTTGTTACTTTTGCTTTCCGACGACTTGACTGTTTACTGTTTTGTCCGTCAGTTGTCAATTTCCCCTTCCCTCCCAACCCCATTCGACTGGGAATCACTATCTCTCCGTCACTGTCACCATAATTTCCTCAATAACAGTGTCAGTACAACTCTTGTCAATATACTTATATCGGGTGAGGGCAGTCTATCTCCGCAGCTGGCTCCTTTCAATCACTACCGGTCGCAGCTCCTGCCCACGGCAGGCCGACCGTCTCTCGTTCACACTCTGTGTGCTCCAGGTCACAGCTCCTGCGCAGAGCAGGCCGACCTGTCTGTCTCTCTCTCTCACACACACTATGTGTGCACCGGGTCACAGCTCCTGCGCAGAGCAGGCCGACCTGTCTTTCTCATGCACGCCAGCTGCTCCGCCCAATATCCCTGATATGCCAACCAGAAAACAATGTGTTCTGAGCCGGGTGCATGCCTGTATGTGGAGAGTGCGTTAACACTAAAATAATTCAACTGAGACAGAGTTTTGATCGCCGGAACTACTACTTCAGAAGTAAAAACAACTGGGCCCATGCAAGCACTTCAAGGTGCGGACATAAGGCACGGACATAGAAAGGAACAAGTTCACTGCGCCATGATACGTTACTATTTATTCGATGAAGACTTGGAAACGGAAGCAAAACCAGGGATGTGTGCGTCATGAGAAAACCAACAGGAACCAGAAGCACACTCGACTAATACGTGTGTGTGTGTGTGTGTGTGTGTGTGTGTGTGTGTGTGTGTGTGTGTGTGTGTGTGTGTGTGTGTGTGTGTGTGTGTGTGTGTGTGTGCGTACGTGGAATACAAGTATGACGTAATGATTCTGACTAATGAATATAGATACGCATCAAGAACTTTCTTTCAGGATAGATTTCAGTGTAACGATTCTCATATAGCAATACGTGATAATTCGAACCTCAAACTGGTGATTGCTTCCTAATCAGAAGTCCCGCGAAATCCACTTACTGGTACAGGTCTACTCTCCATATAACGTAATCTCTGGGACCACGCAAAAATTATGTTATACCGAGAGTTATGTTATGTAGAAAACCGTGTGTAAAATACAATATGTACCTCAAAATGAAGGGTATTACAAGGCGGGTTCAACCGTGCAAACATATACACACTGTACCACCATCGACATCAGATACCATCAATGCCGCAGATATATGCACAATAGGACTAAACTGGCGAGCTACGGCTACAGCTTGATTGTACCACGCATGTGATTCTACGTTGTATCGAGAGTGTGCACGCCGGGGACCGCGCCGTAGGGTGCGTTATGCCGAGGTTTACGTTATGTAGGACTAAACTGGCCTAAACTGCCCGGCTACAGCTACCGCTTGATTGTACCGTGCACGTGAATTTACGTTGTATCGAGAGTGCGCACGTCGGGGACCGCGCCATAGCGTGTGTTATGTCGAGGCTTATGTTATGTAGGATTACGTTCTGTAGAACAATATTGTATGGGAGTGATTTTGTTTCGGCGCGGGATTTGATTTTTTACGTACTAGCAAGGTTTATGTACAAGTGAGAGTTGTTATATCGAGAGTAGACCTGTACATAGGGAATGTATAGCATTCCAGCTGGCAATTGGAAGTTGACAAGTCCTACTTTGAAGTCCACTGTACACTGCACTAGTCGGTTCGGTGTGGGTGAGAACGTTGTACTGGCCAGTTTAGGCCTCGGTTAGGGTGCATGAAATCTGTGCCTATGGTGCATATCACAACTCTGTGTGACAAAGCAAGTATCTTGATGTACAGTCAACTTCGCTTATAACGACACTCGGCGGGACATCAAACAAGTGTCCTTATTCGCGAAGTGTCGTTATACCCGAAGTCTCATTATATGTATTACAGTTGGAAGGGACTTTGCTCTGGGCATGGAAATGCTGTCGTTATTCGCGAATTATCGTTATATCCGCAGTCGTTATTAGCGAAGTTGACTGTACATGTACCCAATGGTTTACGGGCACATGTTGTCACATGTTTGGATAATTAGAATGACCGCATACATTGTTCTATTGGGACCCACCACGGCACGGTGCAATGGTTTGCATCCAGTGAAATTAGTTTTGTTCTCATGTTGCATATGCTCTCAGCACCATGCAGCTTCCTCCTGTAGTGCTTACGTTTGTGCTTTGCTGGTGCGAGTGTTCTTAATTCATGATCTGTCCCCCCCCCCCCCCCTGTCTGCATGTCCCTTCACAGATGCAAACAGTGAAACTACATCGCAAGTCTCATCGGTGCCGACTTTGCCGCACATTCAGGAAGAAACTCAGCCTTCTCAAGTTCTCGACGTGACCCAGGAGCAGAGGAGTGGGGATAATGAGGACCTCAATGCGGACTCTGCTGTACCCATGAATGCAGAAGATGAGGGCCGTGTCGTGCCGACAGGTTTGTGCCGTGTCCTCCTCTGCACGTTTCTGTCTATCCTGCACGCCGCTCTTGAAAGTACCCTGCTGCGTATGCTTGTTCTGATATTTGCTGTGACTACCAAGAGTGCATGAAACCAAGAGTACATAACCCCCCAAGAGTGTGCAACTCCACCATGGGTGCTGTCCCGACAGAATTTCAAGTTGATATCATCGTTATGATGCAATGCGCACTGTACATATGAAGGGCTCCAATTCAAAACGCAATAAAGACCAAACCGGAGTTTTTGTGTTTTTTTTGTCACGAAAGAATTCGTTTTCACACCACGGACGTCTGTGTGTTGGTTTTACGGGCCAAAACGCGATACATCCCAGTGAAAATGATGCCTGAAGTTTGTGTTCTTCTGAAAAACGCGATAAAAGCCACTGATGCTGAAAAAGAAAAAAATGAAAAAATGCACCTCCTGAAATTTCCACAAAATGGATTTATCTCGTTTTGAATTGGAGCCCTTCATATATTATCTGAGGTATTCTGAACCTGTGGTGGACAAAGCCATATTTGATCCTGTACAAATTAGTTCAAAGAAAACGCGTGATGTTTTGACACTCCGTACAAATGTCGTAAATCACTGGTGCGAGGAGTATTGCATCATAAAAATGACGTCAACTTGAAATTCTATCGGGACAACAGGGTATGCGGGGAGTTGCACACTCTTGTGGGGTTTTGTACTCTTTGATGAAACCAAGCGGGTGCAGCACGAATGGGTTGCTGCCATGGCGAAATTCCAGGATTACATCATTTTAGTGATGTAGTGCGTGCAAGCAGGATTCAAGCAGGTCTCCTGCTGCACGACTACCACGTAGTTCTATGCACCACACCACTTCCCACCACCTATCTGCGCCATCTCATAACAGCCACCTTCACTTCCTTTCCCCAGGAGACTCCCTTTGATAGGCATCCATTTACCTCTGGAGAATCCTTGAAAATATAATATCAATGTTATAATCTATGATGTAATCTAGGAATTCCGCCATGACAGACACCCGTGCAGAAAAGTCCCAAGCTGCACACTCTGGGTTTCATGTACTGTACTGTTGTCACTCCTGCCACTACTGGTGCTATCAGGCTGCCATGGTTACAGGAGTGCAGCAAGTGAAATCCAACAGCCTCATGAATATACGTGTCCCTTGCTTCATGGTCCTAGCAGTACAAACACTATCTATGCAGTGAATGAAGCTGAGCTGCTCTGGTTTATTCGTAGCTGTAAGGCCAGATTTCAGTCATGTCTAGTCTGCTTGCCCTTGTTGAGTACATCTCTCAGTAGCCTGCACATTTGAATGCTGTGATTGAACTGCGCAATTTGCTCATGTCGCTACACACACATGCACACGCACACACACCTTGAACTTGCCCATTGCCGTAGGCAATGATAGCGAAAGGACTAATTCAGCGGCAACCGTCAGAAAGGTTCGTGGCGCTTGAGATCGCCGGGGCGGCGACACGTCTTCCCGCATACGCAACGATATTCTGGCTCGGCGGAGACATCACGAGGCTGAGGACGACGGTGAATAACCTCCCTCCACTCCGAGCAGTTCTGGGCAGTGTCGAGCCGTTCCTTCTCCGGGACAGGTGGGTGAATGCGGTTAAAATCGTCCACAACCACATCCCGCCAACGCTTGCGTGGGCTGTGCTGAGGTCAAGTTGCAGGGAGCTCCCCAAACAGGGTACACTTAGGCAGATGGTCATCATCCATGCGGCCAATATGGCCGAGCCATCGTAGCCGACGTTTGCGGATGATATCGCCGATGTCCGAGTCAATTCCGAGGTCCTTCGCCAATGTTGAAGAAGTGACTCGATCATCCCATTGCTGGTGTCTCGAGATGCCGACAATAGCCCGCACACACTGATGGTGGAATGCGTTAAGACGGCGCAGATCAGGAGCCTTGGTCGTCCAGGTCTCTGCTCCATACAACAGGGTCATAAGAACGAGAGCCACGTAGACACGACGTCGGCATCGGAGGCACAAGGAGCGGTTCCCGAAGACAGATGCCCGCAAGCAGCCAAACACTCGAGCCGCCTTAGAAATCCGCGACTGCACATCATGCGTACAAAGACCGTCCCGGTGAATCACGGACCCAAGATATGTGAATTGGTCAACGGCGCCGATGGTTCCATTCCCGAGATGAGCAAGCTCACCGGTGGGAGTATTGATTGACGCGGCTTTGGTCTTTGTCAAGCTGACGGTCAATCCCCAACCAGAAGCACAGGCCACAAACGTCTCTGCGCATCTGTCAAAGGATGCCTTGGATGTGGCGTATAGCGCAGCATCATCAGTGAACTGCGACTCGGTTACAGTGAGACGCTGCAGACGTGACTTGGCAGTTCGGTCGCCAACCAGCTGCACACCCCCACCCCCATCACACACGCGCGCGCGCGCACACACACACACACACGCGCGCGCGCGCGCCCACGCACACTGGAGGAGGATGAAAATAGTTTGCAGTCGAAGCCTCCCCTTGATTCCTGTCGAATACGTACGTCGCTGGTGAATATTCTTGCCGGTATGAAAATGCCGCCCTTACGTCATGTTGAATACTTTCACTCTGCCCTTACTGTGTCCTCTTACTGTGACCTGGCAGCATTCTACCGAGAGACAGTGTTTGAGGCCATCCGTGCTCAGCTTCCTGGCACCAGGTTTCTTGAGGACATTGGAGATGAGGTGTCCTACAGGTGAGCTGAACTAGCTGTGCTTGGTGATCCACTTGAAGTACATGTGTGCCCAATTTTTGCCCTATTAAAGTCTCTTTTCTTGTCATGTCCTTGGACAAGCATTGAAGGACAGCACAAGTACATACTTGCATATTGCTCCGTTGTGCTAATGCGGTGCGCTAAGAGGATTACTTTGATCACCATTGCTGAAAAGACTATCACGAATGTGCACAAGTACCGTAACGTACCGTTGATCCGTCCCTGCTCTAATTCCCGCCCCCTGTTGAATTTCTGCCTGTGAAACGACGTCGGCGTATACAACGAAATACGATGTTGAGCCGACGCGTGTACTGCTGCACGCAATACGTGCGAGTGCAGGATGAAAATGTGCACAATCCAGCTTTCCAGGTCTGATCTTCTGCTGTGTTGTACATCGTACTGCACTTGAACGACTTGATCTAATTCCCGCCTCTGCCGAAGAACAAGCTGAGAAGCGACACGGCGTGGGGGCGGATCAACGGTAATTCACGGTATGTGACTAACTTTTAAGTATGCAGCCATTTTGCCTTGGTAGCTGATAATGAGCTCCCCTGCTAAAATGTTAATGTGTGTATGTTAATGTGTGTATGTGTGTCTGTGTGTGTGTGTGTGTGTGTGCGTGTGTGTGTGTGTGTGTGTGTGTGTGCGTGTGTCGCCGTATGTGCGTGCGTGTGTGTGTGTGGGTGTGGGTGTGGGTGTGTTTGTACGTGCGTGCATGCTGGTGCAGATTGCCATTGAAAGCGGAGCAGAGCGAGAATTTCCTGGAGTTACTCTCTCACCTGGACGGCCACATGAGTGACCTGGCCATAGCCTCCTATGCTGTGTCAGATAGCACTCTGGAGCAGGTAAGTGCAGTGATGCCAGTCTACTGGTACTTGGTGTATTGGCCAGAGCATGTGCATGTACTATGCATCATCAACACATTACACTAGTACTGATCCCGGCACAGGCACACGCACATACATACACACATACATACACACATGGTTTAGAACCATAGCCGTCCACTATGCCACGGGTTACAGCGTTTAAATCTTCTGTAATGTCGCCGCATTCTCACTACTCAGTGATTGGCTTATGCATGTACACCATTTGTTGCAAAATTGTATCCATGCGTCTTTGCCGCTGATTATCTCGAATCTGTTTGCTGCTAATTCTATTTGCTTCTTGACAGGTGTTTATCCAAGTGTTAGCTGGTAGTGGTAAACATAGCGGACGTGTTAATGCAACTGACAGCGGGCATGCCTCGCAGGCTATGAATCTGGCACGCAGCATCTCTGAGCGAAGCCTCTCCAAGGATCTTGATCTACATCTTCTGCCTAACCACCGTGATAGTAAGAGCGCTAGTTTGTGTATACAGTCAACTTCGCCAATAACGACTGCGGATATAACGACAATTCGCGAATAACGACATAATTTTCATGCCCGGAGCAAAGTCCCATCCAACTGTGACACATATAATGAGACTTCGGATATAACGACACTTCGCGAATAAGGACACTTTTCTGATGCCCCGCCGAGTGTCGTTATAAGCGAAGTTGACTGTACTTGCATCCGTGTGTATGTGTCTGTCTGTCTGTCTGTCTGTCTGTCTGTGTGGGTGGGTGGGCGGGAAGGTGGTGGGTGGGTACATGTGTGTGTGTGTCCGTCCGTCTGTGTGTGTGTGTCCGTCTGTGTGTGTGTGTCCGTCTGTGTGTGTGTGTCTGTCTGTGTCGGTGTGTGCATGACATGTGTGCATGACATGTGCACATGTGTTTCTTCTGTCATTTGTGCATGTGTTGTGCACACAGTACTTTGGAGGTAGACACAATGGTGTCATACCAAACCTACAAACTATACAGTTGAAGTCGGTTTGCTGTACTCTTCATGTTCCTGTTGTCGGTTTGCCTTGTGATGACGTTTTGTTTTTGTTTTCTGTTTCCATAGGTATAGAGCTGACGGACATGTCTCGAAATGAACAGCCCAAACCCACCGAGCCTGCAGTGTGCCCCACTAACCTGAAAGGTGGTGGCCGAGGCAGTCGCAAGGAACGTGGCTTGGTGCTCATGGCGCAGCAGTACCGGGCGCTGTTCACCAAGCGCTACCACCACTTCAAGCGGAACAAGAAGGCACTGGCATCACAGGTACACAGCACGTTGTGCTGGTCTGTCTGGGTTTATGTGGCAGCAGTTGACGATTCTACATTAAATTTATTTATTCAACATTGTGCAAGTAATTTTTTCTTCTTCATTTTTTTGCCCTTTCATAGATACATTACAAACACTTTGTGCAAGTAATAATTATCTTCTCATTACGATACCGTCTGCTGTGTGTTTCAGGTTCTCCTTCCCGTCCTGCTAATCACCCTCGCCATGGTTGTCAAGCGTACACAGCAGCCGCCTGCGAATGAAAATCCACTTCTGCTGGTACCAAACGCCTACGTGGGCGCCAAATTTGTGCCGATCGAGGTCGTCAACGAGAGCTTCCCGTTTGCAAAATCACAGCTTGAGACGCTGAGCGCTAGCTGCGGCGGACTGGGCCCGAGAAACTTGTGGGAGCGGAGTGCAGATGTCAGTGGTGACGATAGCGATGCCACTGTCCGCCCCACTAGCGACGCACCTAGCCAATGTCACTCTGATCCAGGCAACAGGTATGTGTTGCCAGTGGCTAGTGTACATGCACTGCTGGTGCCGCATGAGAATAGGTTTTCCCCGTGTGCTGTTAGTAGTTCATGTCGGGCAGGCATAGTGGAATGGTCCAATACCATGACTGAGAACACAGGGCTACCATGTGCAGTAAAACTCCCCAGATCCGGACGTCCCTAATACGTGCATGTCCGTCTACCGGGCACCCTTCTGGCCCATCTACAGTCACAAAAATTGGCTTTTCAACGGAAAAAAGGCCCCACAAACTAATGATTGGCATAATCTTGAAGATGGCTCGGAAATTTAGGCTCCAGGCTGTGTACGAGTACGATCGATCACTTCGCCCCCGTTTCGTAATATCCGATGCTCTGGCATTGGCATTGTGCCCAAGACGTCTGGTGGTGTGCGCATCATCATGCACCTACCTGCTCCTAGTGGCTCTGGCATTAATGACGGCCTTTCCTTTGACGAGCTCTCCCTACATTATGTCACTGTAGACGGCGCAATACACTGCATTTCCCAACACAGTCCCTGAGCTCTCCTCTCTTAAGCTGACACGAAGTACTGTAAATACAGTCAACTTCGCTAATAACGACTGCGGATATAACGACAATTCGCGAATAACGACAGAATTTCCATGCCCAGAGCAAAGTCCAATACCACTGTAATACATTATAATGAGACTTCGGGTATAACGACACTTCGCGAATAAGGACACCTTTTTGATGCCCCGCCGAATGTCGTAACGTTATAAGCGAAGTTGACTGTATACAAATTTTCGGCAGCTATTTAATTTCGGCTATATTCGGCACCGACCCAAAACGCCTAAATTAAAACGCCGATGAAATTTTTCACAACATCTGTCGCACTATACCATGCCCTCTACCCACGCCGAAAATAAATCGCCGCCGAAATGTCAAAAATCGTGAAGTGCCGAAATTTTGCAGCGCCGAAATTTTGTATATTTACAGTATGCCTGGCGGCTTTGGCCTGTTTCCCCTCATGTCTGGCCCCGGCTTGGCATTTTTGGGAAGGTTCGTACCATGTAGATAAGGCACCACCATTTGGCCTTAGATCCTCCCCCTTCTGTTCAACAGACCGGTTGATGTGGACTCTCAGCCCAACGGCGACTCTGTAATGATCCTGCTAAGTCTCTTACTCGTCTTCGAGTACAGCGCTTCCGGACTCTCAGCCCATCTACCGACGCAGTGCTGACACACCCTGCACAGTCCACCCTCCAGCAGTTGACGACGCAACCATGGACCTCATCCGCCAGGGCCTGGTGGACAGCTCCAGCATGGCATGCGCTTCGCTGCAGCACTCCGAACGCTTGTCGCCCTGCGCCAGGGCAAGCCACACTCCGGGACTGATCAGTGCCGGCAGCATTGTTCCAGATCCTGTACTTTGAGTGCATCGCCCACTATGCTAATGGGCAGCCGCATTGGACGGCACTCACATAAATTGCAGTGTAATAGTAATGCAGATAAATACTGTTTGGGTCCGGTTGTCAGCGCTGCCGGACTCGCATCCCAACTGCCGAAGTGGTGCCGACACAACCAGCGCAGTCCACCCTCCAGCAGTTGACGACGCAACCATGGACCGCATCCGCCAGGGCCTGGCGGACAGCTCCAGCATGGCATGCGCTTCGCTGCAGCACTCCGAACGCTTGTCGCCCTGCGCCAGGGCAAGCCACACTCAGGGACTGATCAGTGCCAGCAGCGTTGTTCCAGATCCGGTACTTAGAGCGCATTGCCCACTATGCTAATGGGCAGCTGCATTGGACAGCGCTCGCATCAATTGCTGTAAATAGTAATGCCGATAAATCCTGTTTGGGTCATGTTGTATTTTTGGGAGAACAGTAAGGATCGTGAGTCAGGCCGGCATTGAGCCAAGTGCGCCTATATTCGCTCACAAGTGCATCCTTTAAGCCATTCCGTAAGGGAGAACAGTAGGGATCGTGGGTCAGGCCGGCATTGAGCCAAGTGCGCCTACATTCGCCCACAAGTGCACCCCTACTGCATGCTCGTGTATTGACACGTCTGAATTCTCGCCGGGCAATTGTTGCCCCAGTTAGTGTCGGCATTGGCCATACTAACGCACAGCGGTGCTTGCAATACTAGCTCTGGCATTGGACCAGAATATTGCATATTGTATGCGACAATTGTTGCCTATCTCCTGGTAATACAACGCGTAATAGCTCCCAAACAGGTCGGCTTGTTGTGTGGTTGGTAAATATAAGTTTCCGTGCATGGCACGGTAAGTGGAGTTAGCAACACACCAACATCCTTGCCATAAGCAACACTGGTACATGCATAACATGCATGCACTCCGAATTCCCGCGTTTCCGCACGGGACTGTGCGGAGCATGCGCATTACTCCAATTCGCCATGCTGTTGTTTCTTGCTCTTCGCTTTGCTGTGCTGACAGTCAAATTGTTTGACTATCGCGGCCAGTTTCTGATCACCGCCACCCACCCCATCATCTCTCACTAGCATTCCATTCGAAACCATCCCGAAAGGGAGAACAGTAAGGATCGTGAGTCAGGCCGGCATTGAGCCAAGTGCGCCTATATTCGCTCACAAGTGCATCCTTTAAGCCATCCCGTAAGGGAGAACAGTAGGGATCGTGGGTCAGGCCGGCATTGAGCCAAGTGCGCCTACATTCGCCCACAAGTGCATCCCTACTGCATGCTCGTGTATTGACACGTCTGAATTCTCCGGTTAGTGTCGGCATTGGCCATACTAACGCACAGCGGTGCTTGCAATACTAGCTCTGGCATTGGACCAGAATACTGCATATTGTATGCGGCAATTGTTGCCTATCTCCTGGTAATACAACGCGTAATAGCTCCCAAACAGGTCGGCTTGTTGTGTGGTTGGTAAACATGTTTACTTGCATTCAGTAAGTGCGTACTACAGTAGTATGTTCCGAGTCAATGGCAATTCCTAATTACGGGCAGTGCACGGTCCCAACCTGCCCGGATCTCTGCGGAGTTTTACTGTATATTTTAAGTTTGGGAACTCGTGTCCTGGCAAAAGGGTAACCTGGATGCAGCAAGTGGGATTTTCGGTCTTTGACCACTCTGACCACTCTGCGGTGGGTCTGATCTACTACACACACAGGGTGGTATTACTCACCTCCCGTCGCTTTAGGGGCTGCATCTGCGCCTTGATGCGGATGCGGACAAGTCAGTGTGACTGTCTCCGACACGAACCGTGTCCTGTGTTCTGAGCCCAGCCATAACTGCATCATCTATTTGGTGTCAGCAATGTTCAAACACGTTCTGTTTTCACGAACAAATTCTAAATCTGCTCCATCTGCCTCTCTTGTCCACTTCTGATCTCGTGTAGTAACTAGTGTGTGTGTATGTGTGTTGCGTGCATTGTGCCATACATCAGTACTTCAGTCAGGCCTCGCTTACCCGCACACATCCGTTTTCCACAAAACTATCCGGATAGGCGAGGGAACCGGATAATCGAACACACGTATTGTATGTATGCATGATATATGCTGTAAATCGGTAACCAACAAATTTCTTCCGGATGGCGAGGGATCCGGGTAAAAGAGGACCGGATAAGCGAGGTCTGACTGTAGTACTGTATGGTGCAGTGTGCACAGACTACAGTCTGTAGCTGTGTGGGTTTCAACAAGTACAGTGCCGGTGTCCTACTGACTGTGTTTGTGAGATTTGTTCTGCCTCGTGTCGGTGATGACTGTCAAGTGAGATCCTGTCATGTTCAAGTGATGAGATTTTGTCTCATGCTTTGATGGCATCGTGTATGCATGGGGTGTACTCTGCAGGTGGAGCTTGCACCGTGTGCGTCCCAACCCGGTCTCCAGGGTTCCAGAGCAATGTGCGGGCGAGGTACGTTTTTTGCAGAAGGTCGTCCCGAAACGCTTGGCGCAGCGTAAAGCCCCAGCCGGCGTTCGTCTGCAGAACATTTCGACCGCGATCAACCTATACACGTTTCTCCTCGCCACTACTCAAGCCTACAGCGTTAATCGGTACGTGCTTTCCTATCATCAGGGGATATGCTAAAGAAGTGGGCAATACTCTTTAGCTATACTGCCGCTCAGTGCTCCGTGGCGAAACAGTCAACACAGCAAAACAACACGAGCGATCAGTCTTTCCAGTCCAAGTCAAAGTTCGTAATATTACATGACGTACGAGATATTAGTCCTGTTTCTCATCTGGCAGCAAATACAGTCAACCACTGTGGATAAGAGTGAATAATCACACTGTGGATGTTTTAATTGGACCGCACTTGTATGTTTAGTTCTAGTGTCATTGCACTCACATGCCATTGTGTAACTGCTATGACGTACCACTGGGTTATTGCAATGGCGTACCACTGTGTCATTGAAATCACATACCATTTGTTTTGTGATGCTGACATAACATTGTTCTTGTCATGTAGATGGGGAGCACTGACGACGGGGGTGCGGTACTCGCCAGCGCCTCTCAACACCACTGGACATGCTGTTGTGGACCACCTAGCTATTGGACGTGCTATGAAGGTTCGTTGCTCTGCTGCACTGTGCTTGGGTACAGCATCTGATGCTCTGCTAGCCCTCTCTGAAGACAGTACAGCTGTTGTACTCTGTGTGTGTGTGTTTCAGGGTTTATAAAACTTTGTATACTTTCTATTTGAAGTGTACATGCCTGTTGACCGACAAATGCAAGTGCACGTATGTGTGGCCACCATGTCTGTCTTGTCGCTCTTGCACTAGGCCTGGAATAACAACAATGGCTACCACTCAGCTCCTATCTATCTGAACAGTTTGAACAACGCCTTGCTGCGGGCTATGATGATGTCACAGGGTCCGGCACCACCAGCCGACTATGGTATCAGCACCATTACTCACCCCTTCAACAAGACAGCATCTCAACTTCAAGAAGATTACCTGTAGGTCACCATTGCTTGCACACGGTACATGTATCATTTCTAGTACACGGCACATGAACTCGTTTGCAGTACAGCCAAACTCGTGAATAACGACCTCAGGTCTAACAACTCACAAAAAAACGACACAATATTCAGACCTTGTGACCATTTGACTGCGTAACGCTGCTTTCAACCTTTCGAGTAGCGACAACTCACGTATAACCATGCTGTTCTCATGCACGACCGAGGGGTCGTTATTCACAAGGAGTAGTAAATACGGCGGTACTTTACTACTCCCTGGTTCATACTTTTACTCGTACACTCATGTACATGTAGATCTGCGTCAGGGAGTCGCAATATAATTCCGACTCCCTGATGTACAGTAGCCGCACTTGAACATACCCGGCTCTGACCCGGTTGCAAGAGTTGTGCCAGGTACACATGCACCTGGTTGGTTTGAAATCCTAGAGCAGACACTGCAACTTCCTTCTTACATATTACGTAAGCTGTTCGCTGTGTTCGCATAAGAACACGGGCCTCTACTGCGCAATGAATGCATGACAAGGTGATGTTGCAGACGCAGTCAAAGTGGAGCATGCAAAAAAATTTAAAAACATTTTGAACCAGCTCCGAAACACTAAGCAAGGGATAGCATGCATCCACTATACCTGTTGTTGTGTGTGTTTCTTGAAAGTGCATGAGATCTAGGGAAATACAACATTGGCACATGAAGCAGTTTGTGTGTGTGCCGTCTAGGCTACAACCGCTTTAACCAATGACCTGAAAACTGTTATCATTTCAGCCCTAATTCTCTGTTTCCAGCAGTGGTGTATGATGTCCAAAGACAGTTCTGCTGTTGTTGTTGCATTCTTCAATCTTGCTTCTGTGACAGGAAATCCGGCATTGATTTGCTCATTGCCATTGCAGTCATCTTCGCCATGGCGTTTGTCCCGACTTCGTTCTGCGTGTACCTGATTGCGGAGAACGAGGGTGGTGCCAAAGGTCTTCAGCGGCTATGTGGTGTCAGCGGCATCCGTTATTGGATAGCCAACTTCGCCTGGGACATGGTTAGTTGAGGCAGCTGTTGATTGCTGTGTTCTCTCATACCATTGCGGGGCTCAGCCATCGTGTTGACTGGGTGTAGTGACTATGGATGTCAGGCATATAATATTTTCTCTATTTTAAGTTTTGTAAGCACTTTCTGTAATAAAGGCATGCCATACCTCTCTTGAAAGCACGCTGTGCGCCTGTATTGAGAAGAAAAGAAAGAAAGGTGACAGTCTTCAAACACAGGTGCACCTGTGCTATATCCGTACGAAACCAAAAATGGCAAAAGGAAGTTGTAGCAGGTATGCGCAGAAAAATAATATCGCCTGAAAATGTTCATTGTGAGGGGTCGAAATGGTCTTGACTCTTGAGCTATAAAAGCGCTGGTTGGAGAGAAGTGACTGCAGTGAAGCTTACCAAAAGCCATGTGCATGGGTGAAAATACAGTATATTGTTTCTCTGTGATCTCATGTGCATGCACACATTGCATTGCTACAGTATAGCATGCTTGTGTAGTCATAGAAGCTGAATTGTAGACCAGCTGTGGCCCATGCCTGCCGAGGTCAACTGTGGTCATCCGCACACAGCAGGGTGCGTGCGTGCATGCGTGCGTACGTGCGTGCGTGTGTACGTGTATCCACAAGTCTATGTGTGCTGTGCATGATACTTGTCCGTATGTGGTGTACATTGATGCTGCCACTACAGGGTTGCTACACGATAGCGCTTGCACTGATCATAGTCACCATCCTGGTATTTCAAGAAGATGTTTATACGTCTGAACATACGTTTACAGCGGTCTGTGTGCTCTTTGCTCTCTATGGGTAAGTGGCTGTTTGAACTTCCACCAGCCTAAAGGCATTCAAATCAGGGAGTAGTAAAGTTATCACTAAAATACCAGATTTACAACTTCCTGATTCGAATACTCCTCATCTAGGATCAGGCAATGCTCTGATTTATTAGCCGCTCGTTTGAAAATACCGGTACAGTCGTCCCTCTCTAATCCGGCACTTTATAATCCAGCACCCTCGATAAACCAGCACAATTTTCAGTAGCCAAGATGTCCTCTTCATGCACATTGCAGCAGTAAATCAGATTTGTTAATCCAGCACCCTCCCTAATCCAGCAGATTTTCGTGGCACAAATGGTGCCGGATTATAGAGGGACCACTGTACATGTGTCCTTGCATTCAGGTGTTGCCTTGTTTTTGGAGCTACTTGGCTGGCCAGTAGCCGGACATTGTTTTTTTGCATACTGAGAGGGCACTAGAGAAATCTGTTAGACAGACGTGCTGCTCGTGTGTGTGTGTGTGTGTGTGACCTTGCAGTGCTGGAGGTCTGCCTGCATGCATGTCTGCATGCCTGCCTACATGCATGCATGTCTTCCCCTGCCTGTTTGTCTGTCTGTCTGTCTGTCTGTCTGTCTGTCTGCCTGCCTGTCTGTCTGTCTGTCTGTCTGTCTGTCTGTCTGTCTGTCTCTGTGCGTGTCTGCCCGTCCGTCCGTCCGTCCGTCCGTCCGTCTGTCTGTCTGTCTGTCTGTCTGTCTGTCTGTCTGTCTGCCTGTGTTTGATGCTCAAGAGCATCTTTGTTTTAAGCTCCATCGAACTCAGCATAGCCGTGTACTCTCATGCATGTTTATCTGTGTGCAAAAACCCCAAACGTCACTCTCTGCTCGCATTCAATTCCTACGAATTGTAGTTTTACGGTCAGCGCCAGCACCTGTATCAATCAGCTGTGTTTGCATACTGTCATCATGTTGTGTACAGGATGTCATCTGCCACCACCATCTACCCGTTCTCGTTCTATTTCAAGAATCCCAGCAACGCGTACGTGTTCCTGCTTTCCGCTAACATGTTCATTGGTGTTTTCGGGACACTCACAACCTTTCTCCTGGAGATCTTTACGGACAAAGTAAGACATCGGCTTGGTGCCTTCTTCATCAGCCACTGGCTCTTGAGCAACGCTGAGCGTATGTAGTTCAAATTTATAAATATGGTGGACAGTGAAAATCTCAGGAATGTTTATTGTGTCAACTGCTTGATGAATGATGAAAGAAATGAGATTTTCGATTTACATTGTATTGCTTTTCTCTGCACTTTGTTCTCGGGCAGGATATTGAACGTGTCAACGGCGTCCTGCGTGTGTTCTTCCTCCTCTTTCCCAACTACTGCCTCGGCCGTGGCTTGATGGACCTGTCGTTTGAATACTACAAGCGCCTGCTGGCCACCACATACGGATGTAAGTAGATGTACTAGTACTCAGTCACCGGTGTATCACGTTTGAGTGGAATGGTCTATTTGTGATGATAGTTGCACGGCTAGTTCATCCTCGTCTCCTCACGGTCTGCCCAATAGCGAGGAGATTCATTGTGACCGGCAGCTACCTTCACTGTTGCTTTGCTGCTCAAGTATTCATGAATGAAGGAAAATAATAATTGTACTTCAAAGTGGACTCAGATGGAGAGCCAAGGTTTAATTTATATAATTATGTTATTTCTATAACTTAGAACCTTCCAAGTTGGAAGGCTGTTGGAGTGCGCATCCAAGATGTGCTAGAGCTGTTAGCCAGTTAGTTGTAGAACGTCAGTACCGTCGGTCAGTGTCGTGCAATGTTATCGCATGAGCTGATTGTTTAGTAACTGGTGGTGTTAGTGGACAGTATAGCATACCTTGTAGTTCCTTGGTCTTTCTCTTTGTACTTCAAAGTAAAAAGGAAAGGGACGTATGGATAAAAGCTAAGAGTAACTGTTCACCACAGTAACTAGATACTACCGTAAAGTCGCGGATAAAAGCCGGGCTTATAAGCACATAAGCCGCTTTCTGCATCAGGCTTCAATGCAAACCATGCGTATATCATGTATATGCACCACTGATATTTTGGCCAGGCTTGTATGCACATCGGCCGATCCGGGCTTGCATAGAAGCCAGGCTTCTACGCGCGACACGCGTAGATCTACCACTGAATACCGGTATGGCGGCAGTTTTACTATGCACTGTACATAGCGCATGCACTCTTGACCTACGCGATCCGCGCTTACATAGAAGCCAGGCTTCTACGCGCGACAGGCTTATATGCATTGACCCGCTTGATTTTCAGGCTTCTATCCGCGATGTGCTTGTATGCAAACCCGGCTTTTATCCGCGACTTTACGGTATATACAGTCAGAAATGTTGCTGTGTTTTGCTAGGATAATTTGTTTTTCTTGTTCTTCTCTGCGTCTTCGTATGTACAGTGGATACAGTACCATTTTCCAGCGTCTATGGATTTGGTCAAGAGCAGATTGGACGGAACATTGTGGCCATGTTCTGTGTTGGCGTAGCCTCTGCTTTGTTCACTTTGGCACTGGAATATCGGATATTCCAACGCTTGGGTGCGCGGTGAGTGGGACGAACGAAATACCCTACCCCCCCCCCCCCCCCCTCACCATACTCACATACACCTCCATGCATATCCATGCACATACATTCACATACATTCACACACATATGCACACATGCACACACACGTGAGCGCGCGCACGCACACACACACACACACACACACACACACATGCACACACACACACACACACACACACGCACACACACACACACACACACACACACACACACACACATGCACACACACACATGCACACACACACACACACACACACACACACACACACACGCACACACACACACACACACACACACACACACACACACACACACACACACACATGCACACCTTACACCCAAGTGTACAACTGCTACTTCGCCTTGTTTGCTAGCACAACGAAGAGGAGCAGATGAATTCTCTATAAAGGAGTAGCATTGTTTGCTGCACTGTCTTTGTTCAGGCTTGGCCTGAGTCTCATCGGTGTAGCCTACCTACGGGCTGGACAAAGTACAGTCACTGACAGTGATGTACTGCTGGAGGCCGAACGTGTCAAAACCGGTCGGTACAGGAAACGCAGCGTTGTGCTGGACGGCTTGACCAAGGTGAGTGTGTGGGAGCGGATATGCCGTGCATGGCTTCAATCTGTCCTTTTTTTTGTCGGGCATGGTGTGGGTAGGATCTGGGCATGGCCTAGGCTGGGTCCGGGCAGGGTTTGGGAATGCTTTGGGTATGGTGTGAGATGTGACTGCATCCTACATGCCAGGCCCGTACGCAGGGGGGGGGGGGGTCCCATTGCCCCCCCCCCCCCCCCCAATGTTCCAAACGAGCAACGATTTTGGGCATTGTTTGGTAGAGTGCGCGTTCGATCTGACAAGAATGCAAAACTTGAACAGATCGTAACATCTCGCTCAAATCCAATAATCCAAATATCCAGGTTAAATAGAAAACTGTCAGCTGTCAGTAGAAATAAATCGCGAAGCACTGCGATCAATGGTTCTTGAGATAAATCATTCGTAAGTTGAGCTTCGATCTCGGCAATTTCAAAAGCGCGCAGTGCGACATGAGTGTTGAGGATTTGAGACTTTTCGTCACGCTGACTTTCTCAAATTTGCACGGGTGTCACTTGTGATTATTATTTTGAAGAGTGCACAGCGGAAAAATCGAAACTCCGCGATCGATGAAAAGGAAAATACAGTGAAACTTGTGTAAGGCGACCGCTCAAGCCAGTCAAGGGACCTTCAAAATGTGGTCGCTGTGTACAGGTTTGTCATGAGGTTTTTTTAACCAGGGAGTAGTACAATACTGAAGTCCAGCACGTTCGGACTCTCCGCCTTCTCCGTGAAATAATATAAAAAAGGTTGTACAGGTAGTCTCCTTATCCACGGTCATTTGACTGGAAGTGACAATCCTTCGTCCTGGTGGTAGTGGTCCCCTTGGACAGTTGGTCTCCTTATCAGAGTGGTTGCCTTGACAGGTTTTACTGTAGCTGGAGCAGGATGCATTTGGGCAAATTTGGCAAGTTTGGGCATTTTTCGCACTGTCGCTGCACTCTAGCACTCTAGCACTGGATATACATGTGTACCATGTTTACTGTGTCCTGGCTGTCATGGTTGACCTCATTCTCTTCCTCTCCCGGATACCTTTCCACTTCCAGGAAGCCCAAGATTATCAAGATTGAGCACGGAGTAGATCGAGAACTGAAGTTATGATCCAAGGAACACATTTCCTAGGGCTTTAAAAGGGCTAAAACTCATTGTTTGTGATTCGGTTGGAAACCCCCCGTAGAGGTGACCCTGCATACGCACCTGCATCCATGCAAACAAGACAAAACACGAGGATTATGCAACTGGTAGTCGTTACACACAGGTTCTTCTACCAGGACCTCTGGTTTCCAGACCCCCTCAGAAACAGCAGAACACGTTGGAGCCCTCAAATGCTCGGAGGTACTTAACCCCTTAGTGGGCTCCCTTGGCGTAGCAGTCATAAGATGTATTATGGCGTCTAACGCCCTGGTCTGCTCTGCTGTCAATCCCCGGGGGCGGATTCCGTGCTGAGAGCCTGGGGTCTCTCTAGTTGACCGGCATCACTACCCCGTGTGCCGGTCAGTGGAAGTTTCTCTGGCGGGGGGATACGACTTTTTGTATGAACGTGCGTATCTCCCCCAGCCCTTTTCCGAGCGACCCTGTACTTCGATGTACTTGCGTTCAAATTTCTCCGAAAACGTGACTGCGTGTACGCGTCAAGGACTGTGCCTGTCTGATGACACGACCACCCGTTTTGGTTTTTTCACCATAGATGTAGACGTAAACGGTAGTCGGAGAATGTAGTGTAATGACGGCCTTATGGGAGATAGTTAAATAATTAGACACATAAATAAGGCCATCTAGCCACGTGGATGGATGCGACAGAAGTATGAAAGTGTCAACTTTCTGATTTTCAGCAGGGTGATGAATTGGCACGTACTTGTGTGCTTCTTTGAGAGAACAGATTGTTGTAACCTTGCTTCTGTGTGTGTGTGTCTGTGTGTGTCTGTATGTGTCTGTGTGTGTCTGTGTGTGTCTGTGTGTGTCTGTGTGTGTGTGTGTGTGTGTGTGTGTGTGTGTGTGTGTGTGTGTGTGTGTGTGTGTGTGTGTGTGTGTGTGTGTGCACGCATGCATGCATGCGTGAATGTTTACAACCGGTGTATGTATGCTTGACTGCTTGCCTGTTGCTGGACTGGTCTGTGCATACGACTGCGTCACTGAACAATGCCGATCGGGATAACCATTCAGGTCTACTGGAGGCCATTGAAGTCGCACAGAGCTGTCAACGCCCTCAGTTTAGGCGTTCAGCGGGGAGAGGTAAGGATTTCACACGGCCTTTCATTGTCCAATGGCTGGGTTCATCCACTGTGTGCATCTGTTGGCAAATACAGTAGAATCTAGGTGCCTGGGCGTTTCAAACTACACTGTCTTGATAATGACTCGGTGATCGTTTCCAATTTTCCAGTTCATAGCCCCTGATGACAAGTAACACGTGCACATATTTGGAATGATCAAGTTGTGTTCTTAGTAGGGCTGAAACGATCGTGGATTTTCATGTATCGATTACTCTTTAGCTTAACGATCGAGTAATCGATTATAATCGTTAGCAAATAGAGTCATAATTCTGTGCAAACATTACTCTGTTTCCACAAACTATGCCTTCATGATACCAACAAATCTGCATCAGTGAAAGGGTAGCTCCGAAACATGGCAGTTTTGAAGTCAATTTAACCTCAGAACATGAACCATACCCCTGGCAACTGCATACTCCCAGCGGAAACTGATTCAAACTTCACAAAACGAGGGTTTACAGTACTTTCTGGACACAAATTTAAAAAACGCAAAATAATCGTAATCGGTAATCTAAACGATTGCTCGATCGTTAGAGTTATCAAACGAGTACTCGATTATTCGGTATAATCGTTTCAGCCCTAGTTCTTAGGGATTTTTCAGGGGCGTCGGAACCGGCACGGCAGGTGCAGCCAAAGCTGCACCAATAATTTAATCTTCTGATTTTTGAAGCAATTAGCATGGGCTATTTAGGCCCAATATTCCAAAACATTTCCTGGTGAGGCTACGGACCCCTCACCTCTTGAAGGCTGCACCAATGTGGAATACCTTCTGACGCCCCTGCAATATTTGTACCGGGGTATGACTGTGCATTCTTCTTCTGACTGTCCTGTTCCAGTGTTTTGGCCTTCTCGGTATCAATGGCGCTGGCAAAACAACAACGTTCAAAATGTTGACCGGGGAAATTGAGGTTACCGGCGGTGACGCCTACTTGAACGGCGTCAGGTAAGAACACTTCCTACTGCTGCTGCTGCTGCTGCTTGCTGGTTCACTCAGTGGATCGGTGGATATATTACTTGTAGTAGACAGGCTTACTACATTGCTGTTTTCTCTCACTGGGTATGTTGCTGGTTCACTCACTGGATGTGGCTAGGAGCAAGAGCACAGTTTAACCTTCTGGAGAGCGTTGCGCTCCGTGTGTGTGTTAGTTAGCCTGCCATGTCAGCTGCCATGTCAGCTGCCATGTCAGGTGTGCATGCGTACTGTAAGTCTACAAATTGTCAGCGCGTTCAGAAGTCAGCCTCTGTGGGCCAAAATCCTTTTCGACAGCATTTCAGCCTGTTCAGCGTGTTCAGCTCCTGTCTCTATGTACTGTCGACAGTGCAGTACCACGCAAGTCAAAATTCAATCACGACTAATTTTAAGCCTCAAAGTGTCAAGCTGAAATAGCCGAAAATAGAGATGCGCTGAATATTAATTTTGTTGATTTACAGTATACCCATGTGTGTGTATATCATGGTGAATTACATCGCAATATGCACATGGAGGTGTTTTCAGCGTCACATGGGCTGCACACTTGTGCCCACATTACGCAGTGTGAAAGGGAAAGCATGGGGAAGACTGATCGAGAAGAATAGCTTCACCGGTGGCATTGTACAATTGCAATGGAATAGACCTCATACTGGACATGTCCGTTCACCGAAAATCCGAACACGTACTTTGAAACTGATGACGTGAGTCTCCCAGTAGAGGGAAGAGTGATTAAAAAGGAATCTTGACAAGATGACTCAATTGGCTATTGGACCCCGAACAGCTCAAACACACTGTGGCATCAAGGTATCCGTCCCGGAATTAGCCTGGAACATCAAGGTATCCGTCCCGGGATTAGCCTGCAACCTTTCTGATCTTGTGTGTGCTCTTCGGTTTGCATTTCTACAGCATTGTCCGCAACAGCTTGAGTGCCCACAAGCAAGTAGGCTACTGTCCACAGTTTGATGCGCTGGACAATCTGCTCACCTGCAGAGAGCACCTCATGCTCTACGCTCGCTTGCGCGGTGTTCCTGAGGCAGAGTGTGAATCGGTAAGTCCTCGCACCCTATGCCGTTGACATACACTGCAGTAGTGCTGAACCTTGTCAGTGAATCATTACTGCCCATTTCCTCTCTCTTTTCTTTCTCTCTCCTCCTCTTTCATTTTTAATTAAAGAAGCGAATGACTTAACAACAGACAATATCCGCGTTATTCTTGTTCTTCCGGTATTTAAGCTACCGTATATTCTCTATTATAAGCATAGGTCTCCATTACTAGCACACTGTGAGCACCTTTCGAAACATTACACGCAGTCTCCATTATTAGCACGGTCTTGGTGGAAATCAATGCTGCATGCATGATATCTAGCATGTATTTCTTCTTGCTCTGTATGGATGTATTGGTTGAAAATATATACCGTATTTTTCCGGTTGTAAGTCGACCTTTTACGACTTAAAATAGAAGGAGAAAGGGTGGGGGTCGACTTACAACCGGGATTCGACTTATAACCGGGAACTATCAGTATCTTACAAAAAATGACCTGCACTGCATGCACGAGTGCACCATGTTTATACATTTTTGCCAGTTTATTGGCCTTTTTCAAGGATTGGGACGTTATATCCTCTAACAAGGAATGTTTACATGATTTGTTGATGTGTTAGTAGCAGGAGGTGGTTAGTAGTGCTTCTTTGGGTGAAAACTTTAAAACGCAGAATTGAGACCTCCAGATAGGGGGGTCGACTTATAACCGGGGTCGACTTACAACCGGTAAAATACGGTAAGCACAGTCTCCAATATAAGCACGGGGCAGAGGGGTGATGAAAAAATATTAGCACTGCGCTTATAATAGAGAGTATATGGTATTCTTTCAGTATGGCTGACGTGAGCCGTGTATTGCTCTGCTTGTATCGTCTTAGTGCTGCATTTGCCATTGCTACACCTGCTGTTGTTACTGTGACTTTCTGTGCGTTTACTGTTAGGTTGCCGGCTGGTGTATCAGGAGACTGGAGTTGAAGAACTACGCCGATTCTTTGGCAGGCAGCCTAAGTGCAGGCAACAAGCGCAAGCTGTCCGCAGCTGTGGCCATCATTGGCAAGCCAAAGTTGATCTTCTTGGTATGTCCCTGGATACTACTACTCTGTGTGTAGACTCGAAATGGAGATCGAGATTCTGTTGACGGAAGACCAAATCAACACGCGTAGTATGGAAACCACTGGAAAATACAATGAGGCCTTTCACGCCATTGCTCTTCAAAATCGCTGGGTGCAATGGTGATTCAGCAAGTGGGCCAACAGTGTCTTTTGCATGACTTTCGGAGTGGTCAGAGCAGTCATTGCGCGCTCATATGCTCATGTTCATCACTATTATACCAAAGAATAGTAGTAGTGTGAAAGGCTTCATCACATTTTCTAGTGACTTCCTTGTTGCGTGTGTTGAAATGGAAATATTGGAACCGGTTTCATCCAGCCAAAAATTGATGTCTTTGGTGCATCCACACTGGTTTGGTGCAGCCATCCTTGGTGACTTGGTGCATCCAAACTTCGTGACTTGGTGCATCCAAACTTCGTGACTTGGTGCATTCAAACTAGATAGCTTTGGTAGGAGTGACTATAAACTAGTTGGCTGGTGTATGGTGCAACACAGAGATTTCAATCAACCATATCACGCGATGACTTGATCAGTTAGGGTATCCTGTGTATAGGATTGTATTGCAACTTCCCCAGCATGTTAAGACATCAACATGTCTTTCCAGCTTTAAAAATGCACTCCGATCGCATAATGTAGCATGATAGGATCTCCTTGCTGGATTCTTGTCTATCCTTCTTTCTTCTCTTTTTCTATATTCCTTTCTTTTCTTTTTCTTGCCGTGGTTGGCTATCACCCCTCTCTCGCACTTTGCGTGCCAATTGGTCATGGACCACGAGTTGAGTGAAATAAATAAAAAATAAATTGCATGGCTTTAGGTCTGCTAGCCTGCCACTCACCACACAAGTTTACCACGGTTGCTCTACCTGGTAATTTGTTTGCAATGCTGTCCACAGGATGAGCCAACGACCGGAATGGACCCCCAAGCCAGACGATTCCTGTGGTCGGTGATATCGGGACTGGTCCGTCTTGGACATTGCGTCATATTGACTTCTCACAGGTGCGTACTTGCAAGTAGTTACTTAAACTCCCTCGGAGCCATAGAATTTCAAGTTGGCGTCATTTCTAGGATGCAACGCTCCCCGCACACGTGATTTCCAACCTTTGTGCAAAAGGTGTCAACTCATCACATGCGATTGCTTGCAAGAGTTTGTACGGGATCATAATTGTAATGGTGACACGTGGGAAACGTCGGAAAATGTGTTGGAAAATATGTGTACACCGCACCCCACATGGCATCAAAAATGCCATCAACTCGCTATTCTGTCGGGACAGAACTGATACTGGAGTTGAACACTCTTGGGGTGTGTGTGTGGGGGGGGGGGGGGACTATAGCCTTGGTATTTATCATCATCATCATGTTAATGTTAAGCTCACTACTCAGTTCCTTGAGTGCTCTGGACTACTCTGCTCGATAACCTACAAGTAACTTACTGCCTCGCTCCTCCCCATTCACAGCCATATGAACCCCTGTCCTTTGTGATGGGTGGGATTTCTGTGTATGTTTCTATATATTGGCAGTTTGGAAGTTTGGAATAGCGCATGTTTTTCTACTTCTCGTTTCTTCATTGTAGTATGGAAGAGTGTGAAGCATTATGTAACCGTCTTTCCATCATGGTCAACGGCGAGTTCCGTTGTATAGGAAGTCCACAACATCTCAAGGATAAGTAAGTCACGCTAGAGTGCGTGTGTGTGCGTGCATGCGTGCTTGTGTGCGTGTGTGTGTGTGTGCGTGCGTGTGTGTGTGTGTGTGTGTGTGTGTGTGTGTGTGTGTGTGTGTGTGCGTGCGTGTGTGTGTGTGTGTGTGTGTGTGTGTGTATGCGTGTGTGTGTGTGTATGCGTGCGTGCGTGTGTGTGTGTGTGTGTGTGTGTGTGTGTGTGTGTGTGTGTGTGTGTGTGTGTGTGTGTGTGTGTGTGTGCGTGTGTGTCTACAGTAGTGTCAAGTAGGGGATGCAGTGGTGGCACCGTTAGAATCATCAGCAACCTCAGAAGCAAGAGCAAGATTCTATTGCATCCGTTGCACAGCGCATCAGGACTGTGTTTAGGGATGTGCATGTATCTATGCCTCACTGCTGAGATGATGGGACTGGATACATGTCGTTCTCCTCCCCCCCCCCCCCCCACACACACACACCATGTATTTTTCCCTTTCCAGGACTAGTCACCCAGTCTAGTTCCACCCCAGATAGTTTGATGTGCAGTCATGACAACTACGTGGTCTCGTGGTCACAGTGCTTGCTTGATTGGTTGGTTAACTCTCTGGGTTTTTTTCTCTGCTTGTGTTTTTCATGGCTGTTGGTGTAGGTTTGGTACTGGTTACACTGTGACGTTGCGGCTACAGGGTCAAAACCCTGATGTGTCGCATGTCAAAGCCTTCTGCGAAGAAGAGTTTCCTGGTTGCACGATGCAGGTATGGAAAGATGATGCCATGGAAATAGAGTGGTAGGGCTGTTGTGATCAGTGTTTAAACTTGACCCCAAAGGCAAACATGAGGTGTGTTGCCAGCTTACCTAGAGTGAGACGACCAAGCATTATTCTGGCCCAAAAACTAAATCTGCGCAACACAGAGGAAGGGGTAAAAAAGACAACTGAAGGATATCGCACGACTTGTCTGCTTCCGTCTGGATAGCAACCATAGTCGAGCCATTCAGCCATAGTATTAATGTCCAGCACGCTTTTTGTACACGTTACCGAAATGAATTTGATACTTTGTCAGTGCGGAATTAACCTACACTTGATTGTCCAGGCTTGCGAACCGTTAGTGTCAAGTCCCAGTCGGCAAGTCGATCAGAGATCGATTCACAACATGAAGGTGCAATGCCCGCAGCCGTTTTCACAAAACGAGAAAATTGACATGGAGATAACTTATAAGCACATGTCGAACTCAACAGCGCACTTGGCTTGGGCCTGCACCAGTTGCCTGACTGCAGTACAGCTTGGGGCCCACACCAGCTACATGGCTACACAGCCTTGGCCTGCACCAGATGCATGGCTGCCGAGCCTGTGCAGGCTACGTAGTCTGCACAGGACAAATCCCTAGGTACCCCACTGCGATCCTAAAGAGCAGTGTGCCCCGCCTATGATGCAGCGGAATCATGCCGATACCCTTGCTGGTCAGGAGTGGGCAGATGTGGCAGGAGTATCTTACCTAGGAGGATAATCTGGGCTGGTTTTGGTTTCATGGCTGATGTTGATGGGGATTTCTTTGCAACAGGGTTAAGTTAATTAGCGATTGGAACTGGTCAATGTGCATGCAGTCCATTGCCTTGTGTCTCTGTGGGTTTGTTGCCTACTTGTCACTCAGGATGAACACCACAATATGATTCAATATCAGCTCAGCAATCAACTGTCGCTTTCCAAGGTATTCTGTTCGTTGCTGAGGCAGCGTGTTGCTCTGGGCATTGAGGACTACTCCGTTACACAGACCACACTCGACCAGGTAATATGCTGGAGCTCGGCCAGCTCTAGTCAAACTGCCGGGCACTGCATGCCAGTGGCGCAAATAGTGCATGGCTCGTCGTATCGCAATGGTGGCAAGTCTCTGTTCTCGCTCGCATTGTTGTGAACGTCATAACGTTTCTGTCCTCCTTGCACTCATGTACTAGTGCTCAATTAGTATGATTGTGTTGTTTCAGTGTCAGTTCTGCTTCCTCAGTGCCGTTTAAAATTCAATCACCCTGCACAGTACATTTGGCGCACGCTTGACTGATTGGTCGTTTCCCTCTTTCGTCGAGCAATGAGGTAATGGCGACTACCTATTAAATGCTGTTGTTCGCTGTACGTGCGTGCGTGCGTGCGTGCGTGCGTGCGTGCGTGCGTGTGTGTGTGTGTGTGTGCAAGCGCACATGTGTGTATGGGTATCTGTATGTGTGTGTGTCTATATTATATTTCCCAGGTATTTGTGTCATTTGCTCGCAACCAGACAGCTGGACCGCAGAGTGACTTTGATGATCCCACGTATTCTGCTCCTTCAGCCGACCAAGACGTAATGGAATCAAGCTTCAATGAAAATGAGGGACGTGATGCAAATTCACCTTTTCTCCATGATGAATCCGGGCTGAGCGCATCATTTCTCATGGTAAATGCTGTAGGCTAGGAATAGTGTGTACCTTGTGTAGTTCATGCGAGGGCACGTGTGTTTCTTGCAGGCAGACGGCTTGTTTGTACGTATGTTTATGATACAGTCATTGAGTATAAGAAGATGGAGTACTTCAGTATGTAGATTGGGTATGTCATGATCCATTGACTAAGAAATGTATGGACATCGCACAACTGCACTGTCGAAAGAAATGGGGCCGGCACTGCACATGACTTTGGGCCCATCTGGGCTGCTGGTCGTCCTAATCTGCATAGTCTGAATCAGGCCAATGATAGTCTGGGATCGGGGTGTCGAATTTGAATGTTCAAAATATCCTTTCTTTGTTGTTCAAAGTGGAGCTTAATGAGTGGGTAGAGGTATTGTTAGAGGCCGGTCACATTGAGAGAACAATCCTCAGATTATAAACCGGGAATAATTTTTTCTGCGTTTCATCACGGCCACACTGCATACGCACAATGAAAAAGATCTCACTCACCGGCAGCACTTTTTTTGTCATCATTCACTTCTGGCAGTCTGTCAGCCCCGCTCCTGGGCCAGAGCTGCATCAGCACAGCCTCTAGAGTATCGCTCCACTTCATAAAGCAATAAAAAACAAGGAAATTCAAAGAAATCCAGTGGAAGCCACGGATGATTATAATCTTCGGCGGAAAAGCGAAGCCTCGAGCTGATTTTCATCGAGTGGATTAAATCTCTCAAATCTCCCGCTCAGCGGCAACTATCCATGGTAACCACGGATTTTTTTCAAATTTTCCCTCAGTGTGACCGGCCCCTAAAGCGTAAGATTAATTCGACGCAGCGGCGGGAAAGGTCAGATTCCAACATCCGTAGTGGCATGTGCTTACACATGGGGTAGCTTTACATGAATGCACTACTGTTCAACCACTGTACGGCCACTGTTCAACCGCTGTTCAGTACCATATAGCGCTGCTACCCCATTCTGCACTGGCAACATCTTCCCTGCGTGTGCAGCTGTGACCTCCAGGCCAAGTGAAGATCAGCGCTGCACTGTCCGTACCTTTAACTGCATATTCTACACATGCTCTTGTTCTCTGTGTGCCATTCAATGTGTGTGTAGCCCTTAGAAGTCTAGTGTGTTGGACACGGGGATCTACAAGCTCCGGGATCTACATGGTCAGGCTACTGCATACTGCAAGGTCAGGCTACTGCATACTGCAAGGTCAGGCTACTGCATACTGCAAGGTCAGGCTACTGCATACTGCAAGGTCAGGCTACCCGTGTATCTACTATTATGCCACTGCTGTGCAATCTTTTGGAGATGTATGTAAGTGAGTGTGTACCCCAACCGTACGATTGTATGCGCCGCTGCTACATGGTAGTGCATGCTCTACAAGCTGTCTGTGCGGACCGATCCTCCCTGATTCCTTGCAGTCAAAGCAGCATTACTGCACGGCCACCGTACACACTCCCTCCCGTCTGTCATTGTGATAGCTGCCCCAACCCCCGTGCCCACTCAATTGGTATCCTCTTGCCATGCTCTACTATGGGCTAGTTTCTGTTTCGACAACTGCGTACTTCGGAGTACATGATCTGATATAGGTTCTTTAAGTTAATGTTCCTGGTATGTATTCCATGCCGCTGATTCTGCTGCTTTTACTACTGCTACTGCTGCTGCTGGTCAGCCTTGAAATGATGTGACTCCCGACAACTTTCAGACTGAACACAGAAGATTAGAAAATTGAATGATTTCTCCTACATGCATGTTATGTTTTCAGCATTCGTGAATAATCTATTTTGGTCACGGTCACATTGATTCTCATCCACTCCTTCTTTCTCTTTTCTTACCCCATCTTTCCGTATCACTTTTCTGTATGACTCGATGTGTGTTCCTGATTTCTCCAAGCAGGATAGACATTGTGTACCTTCATGGTGTCTCATTTCTTCATCAAGTGCTTTCAATTGCTTTTTTCGCTACTCGACACGTGCTATTTATGCCATGCCTCTCCCTGAGATCATCTCCATCGACTTTGCAACAACAGCAACGAAAAAACTGTATAGTACCTGCAGTGCGCTGGAGCTCTGATACGACGTACGTACATGGGGAGGGGAGGGGGCATACGTACCCCCAATGGGGGGGGGGGGGCACTACAGCACTGCCCGAGGGCGATGACGGCGACACCGAGTCACCTTGAATATGGGAGTGAAAGATACTCATCCAACAATCTAGTATGATTGTAATTTGTACTTGTGACCATTGAGAACATACAAGGGATATAATATACTCCAAAGGAGTAAATATACTCCAAAGAAGTAAATGTATGTATGAATCTAGTCCAGAGAGTGAAGGATAAGATACAGCAATATAATTTAACAGGATATGAAAGAATATGATCGGATATGGCTTTGACGTCTTTTTTGCTCCGTTGTCAGTTGTTTTATCTCTGTAATTAGTCAGAAGTGATTCATGAACACTCCTGCCCGGAGAATCCGGTGTATGGCAACTCGTGTTCTGTTTGGGGTGGCATACCTCACAGACTTACTACGTCCACGTTCCTCTGCAGAACCTAGCTACATGTAGTACCGCATTGCTGATGCCATGGCATGACTGCAAGCATTGTGATATGCGTTGAGAGTGGCTCGCATGTACGAGTCCCAGCACATCGCCTTTCTAGTGAATGATTGTACCACAATACCAGCACGTTAGACTCTTCACATACTGTACAGTCACTACCGCCACTAGCCGTCAAGTAGCTGCACGGGGAAACAAACAAGAGCCAGAAAGGCCGGACACCCACCTTCAGTGTTATGCAAGCGCACAGTGCTAGCCGGCTTGAGGGATTGAATCTTTCGACTATCATAACGAGGCCATTTGCCACCAAGACATCAATTGTGTATACACTATACAGTCCATAATGCCAGCATTGTGACCACAACCACTGCATGCCCAGAGTAATAATATAATGCCGCAATTTTTTCAAGGTGAGGTTGAACTCTTCTTGCAGCTTCACGCCGATGTAATAGGGTTTGGGCTTACAGTCACAAGTCGAATTGCGTTGTTTTCCCCCGACCGTGTTATACTACAGTACTGCTCAATGAAATCCAGTCGCGGTGGCACTCAAGTCTGCGCCCTGTACCGTTTCGCAGCCCAGTGTTGGCAGGTCTAGGGCTGCACAACGCCCCGGTGCGTCCTTGAATGAAGCTGTGACTGGATGGTTCATTGAGAAGCAGCACTGTACCTCTACTAGACTAAGTGTGTGCGTAAAAGACTTTAAGTACTGACCGCTTGCTCAAACGGATGGAGGGATGCGCTTGAAAGCTCATAGTCGTCCTAAGGTTATTCCTGAGGCAGTGGCAGGATGGAGAATGTGCTTGATCCTGCTGGAGTAGTAGGCAGCTTTCAAGGGCTGCTGTATTGCAGACAGGGACTCAGATGAAAAGCTGCTTGTCCAGCTCGAGGCTCGGCGTCTTACTGCAGAAAGAGGAGACAAGAATGTGTGCACAGCAGGTTGCAGCAAGGTTAGTAGCATCGCAGCTCCACCTACTTAATTACTGGCACTCGAATAGAATGTGAGACTGGTTTCTTGTTTCCCTCAATCTCTCTCTCTCTCTCTCTCCGTCTCTCTCTCTCTCTCTCCGTCTCTCTCTCTCTCTCCGTCTCTCTCTCTCTCTCTCCGTCTCTCTCTCTCTCTCTCTCTCTCTCTCTCTCTCTCTCTCTCTCTCTCTCTCTCTCTCTCTCTCTCTCTCGCTCTCTCTCGCTCTCTCTCTCTCTCTCTCTCTCTCTCTCTCTCGCTCTCTCTCTCTCTCTCTCTCTCCGTCTTTCTCTCTCTATATATATATCTCTCTCCCACTCTCCTCTCTCTGTCACTACTCACCTTGTTTAGTTGTGCTATGCCACGGAGAATCTGCTTCCTGTCGTGTCCCGACTGAATGCCCAGCTCTCGTAGATCAGTATCAGTCAACATCACGAATGTTTCTACATCAACCTGGTGAATATGGGCAAAAAGACGGGCCAAGAGAGCATCGAGAGAAGCATGCACACAGTCAAGGTACATGGATCATGAAGCTTGCCTGACTGGTTGCCATGACTTTGGGTGGATATGAAATCAGCGAAGGCTGTACATTCCAAATCGCTACTCCACAATGGCACTGATGATAAACTAATCTTCACCCGTAACCCAAGTGCTGTTGTTATTGTACTATCGGCACATGTGTTGGTGGACGATACCAGGAGTGTCCTGGCCCGAAGGACATGTGACAATTCCGTGGATTAGCTTACACATTACCGGGCTCCTTTCGAATCAAAGGTCCTGTATACATTTCCATTGAAATGACAAATAGCACACACGCACACACACACGCGCGCACACACACACACACACACACACACACACCTCAGACCTCAGACATGCCCATCGCGGAAGCGATGATAGCGCACACACACACACACACACACACACACACACACACACACACACACACACACACACACACACACACACACACACACTGATTTATACCTCCTGATCTTGAAAGATCCTGCGATGCTTGTTCAGATTCAGCCTGCGTAGGAGCTGGCCAAGCTCATCTGTAACAGAAATCAGACAAACAGGGACAAAACTGTTTGCCGTCAGTTACTTGGCACTTGCTTTGACTGGGGGGCATGGAGAGACGTAGATTGTATCACAAGAACTGCCGGTCTTGCACAAGGCTACTACAAGTACATGTGTATCTTCTGGCTATGTGTGTGCACACCGTACATTGGGGTAGTAGCACCAGTGTTTTCCATAACCTCCATGCAGGTACAGAGCAGAATGCATTTCCTGAAGCCGTTGCATGCGTGAACACCTGCATTCCAGCTTGCTCACCATCAGCAGCATTGCGCTGTCTCTCCACAGAGATTGTTGACCCAGTGCCCTCCGAGCTACCCTGCGACGTGGCTGATGCGGAGCCCTGGCGATGATGCGAGATGCCAGCTGCGGGGCTGTATCCGAAGTTGAAGCGCTGCTGGCCTTGGCTAGTCCAGCTTGACGGCGAGAGAGCTGGTGTCACTGGGCCACCAGTACCGCCGGCACTTACTGGGGAACTGGGCTGTGCACCATAGCGAGATTTGACATTGGTCCGCTGCTGCTGCTGTTGCTTTGGCTGTGGCAGAAAGTCGAGAGACGTTTGTTTAGCGTTGGCTGCTGGAGAGAACAAATCTGCTTGCGCCGGTGATTTGGATGCAGCTGCCACTTCTGCTTGGCGATTCCGTTCTTGAACCAGTTGCACGGTGAGATGACGATGGGCTTGTGAGTTGCTGGGCCCCGCGGCAGTCCTTGGTGCCGGACTGCTAGGATTCTGCGGCGGCAGTGGTGATGCTACGCTGCTGCTGTTGCCCGTCGTCGTGCCAATGCCGCTTGTAGAGCTACGGCGACTGGGCCTCACCATGCTAGTTTGTCTCTACAGTACAGCCGGGCAAGGTGAAACACCATAACACAAGTCACGCAACACAATACAGCACAATACAGCATGGTACAGCAAAATACAGCACAATACAGTACAGTGCAGCAAAATGCAGAATCACATCAATCTACTCCCCATAGAAGTACCTACAGTGAGTACAAGAAGACTATGGTATCAGATGGTAAAGCCAAGCTAGTGAGATACACACCATTCCTAGCTGAGTACCACAATGTATCGACTCGAGTAGTACCAGCTGCACCACGTTGTCCAAGTACACGTGACATGAGTTCCGTGTCAGTGCATCACTCACCGACATGGATCCGCCACTGCTGTTTAGCGAAGTTGACGATACGCCCCGCTTGACCAGGGACTTCTTTTCAGGGGATGCTGAATGCTTGAGTGGCGGCGATACAGAAGCCGCAGCTGCATGAGGGGCATGCCCATCACCGGTGCTGCCGTGCCGATATCCATGGCTGAATGCGGCACTTGGCCGCAGTGGCGGTACAATGGGTGTGTGCATGTCTGCGGGAAGACGTCCAGTGTGCGGTGGCTGCAGTCAGGCAACGAGATAAGCAAGACCGGCGGTGTTGACTGTTGAGAAGCCTGTACAGTGGCTCAGACCATGTGTAGAGCCGTGTTTCACACTGGCCCTTAGCTACTAGCTATTGGCAACTCATGCACAGTGGAAAGGGAGAGTGTATGTGTGTGTGTGTCAGTCGGGATTCCACCTCATTGCCGCATCAACCAAGCTCATTCAACCATATTTACTCCCGCAGAAGGTCACCTGATGATCACAATCCTGGTCAAACGTAAAACTTACCCCAACAAGGTCGGTCACTAACAGATCAGCCGAGCCCTTGCCTTCATCGTCGACTCCAAAGCTTGGGGGAAACTCTGGAGTTCGGTTGGCCGCACCGCCAATGGGAGCAGCATGCGGTGAGGATTTGTCAGCTGGTATCGACTGAGCGCCACCATGTTCATGGTTTCCCCATGGCAGTTGCAGCTGCCTGTGCTGCTGAGGTGGATTTCGCCGTTGATGCGCCTGTGCAGCACTGGTACTGGGTGACAGCGGTCGTGAACTGCCAGCGGCCTCCATCATGCTGGATCCATCGGCAACTTTGCTACTTGTGGCTTTCTTCAGCTTTGACGAGAAGTTTAAGAACCATTTCTGGAGCAAGGTCGCAAACACCGCAACAATCAGGCACACGTTATACTTGAAGAATTCGACAATGCCAGATTGCCAAATTTGAACAGGTCGCAGTGCCAATACATGTAGAGGCGACGGTTTCAAATAGGACATAGGTTGCAAACCAGAACGGACTCAATATTCACTTTCTCTCTTGGTATTTTGATTAGAAAACATATGTCACCGTGAGATTACGATGTGTTATACTCTGAGCCAAAATTTCATGGCTCTGCGATGACCAGAAGCGCCATACCAAGCAGGTGAGTTTTTGACGTGTTGCTTCGCACTACGACTTGAGTTTTACGACTTTCGAAAAATCAACTTCTTGTCGCAGGTAAACAGCGGCTCGCCTCTCGCCAATAAAGCACCGCATACCAATCAAAACTAATGGAAGCACACTGGCAAGGCTTATTGTTACTCTGTACTGGCCGTCGTGGAGCGATAGAAATTACCTAATTTCAGACCCAGAGTGAATTTGACATGCACTCTAAAACCTGTCCGGTTTGGAGCCACCTCTGATTTGAAGTGAAAAATTGGGCAACTTGGAGGCAATGGGTCAACACAAAGGAGTGGCTCAGTTCGATTGACTCTGGCCTCAGAACAAACTTCAACATGCCAGTTTCCTTCCACAAACATATTTCGAGTGAACAATCAACGCTGATGATCGGTTTGGGTCTATACAAATTTGGCTGTCAAGCCATTCCGGTATCGAACCGTCGCCTCTACCTGGGCAACGAGCAGAATCATGGTCGCTGGTGGATTCAATGTAACCAAGACGCATAGTCATGCAAGCAGGACCACCGACAACCTACTGCATTTCCCCAAGCTGTGGCCGGCAGAGTTGGACATGTTTAGATCCGGAAGAATCATGGGGAAACCTCATAACAATTATATCGGTATGTATAGAGAAGCTGAGCTGTGACATACCTTGAAGCTGTGAGGTGATCTGCACACAAAACACATAAAGGCAAGGACAGGATGATGCCATTACAATACTACGCCATATGAATCTCAGCAAAAGAAAATTCAGACCGGAATGCATGCCTCATACTGGACACATTTCTGCTACCAAAGAAATCCTGATACTAAAGGTCCCTGGCCCCCAAACACCCATGTTTTAAAACTAAAAGTGGGTTCCACAGTAGTTCAATTACCCATTGTGAGCAGATCCAATGTATGCTGGAAGAGGATCGGCACTACCGACTTCGTTGGTCCCTGACAGAGAAGACTGTGTGGAAGTCTGACTTGTTCGTGACCACTGCTTGGAGAACAGTGCCCTCTTCTTGCTGTTGCCACCTGCAAGGCTTGCTTGCTCAGCATCTGTGTGGAGATCATGTGACATGGCCAGGAAAAGGAAGATGAAATCAGCACCAAGAACACTTTCATACAGATTTTTGAAGCAGCATTATGTCTGACCTCCGCTGATGAGACCTAAGAAGTTCAAAACAGCTAGCTGTCCGCAGATTTAGTAGTACAACGGCTTATAGCCATATCGCACATTGCACATGTAGTCCAACTACACCAGAGTAGCAACTACTGTAGATTCAGACAAATTATGTCTAGGGATGGTACCCATATTCAGTAGATGCTGTGATCAGCTCATCAAATCTCGGCAATTGCCTTTGTGATAAATTACCTGAGCCAGCTTTTAAGTGAAGTGCATATGCCGTGTGCCCTGCTAGTGGTACGTACCTTTCTTGACAGGTTTCAGACTGTGCTTGGCAAGTAGACGAATGAGAAATGTGTCACCTTTGCGTATGCAGAACAAAAGCAGAGAGAAAAACCAACACCAAATGTACAAGAAGAACACTGTGACGAGGACAAATAATCTATTCATAAGTTCTCGAAAACAATCCAATGTTTCATGGACTATTACAGTAGTATGTTGGACTCCATTTCCATTCCTCTAGGCGAGTTACCGAGTTTCAAGATTCAGTTTTACAATTGTTATAATACAGTGCACACGCTAGCAGTTTGCATCTGCCAAACCACACCGTATACAGCCCAGTGTACATGAGTGACCAAACCACACCGTATACAGCCCAGTGTACATGAGTGACCAAACCACACCGTATACAGCCCAGTGTACATGAGTGACCAAACCACACCGTGTACAGCCCAGTGTACATGAGTGACCAAACCACACCGTATACAGCCCAGTGTACATGAGTGACCAAACCACACCGTGTACAGCCCAGTGTACATGAGTGACCAAACCACACCGTATACAGCCCAGTGTACACGAGTGACCAAACCACATCGTATACAGCCCAGTGTACATGAGTGACCAAACCACACCGTATACAGCCCAGTGTACATGAGTGACCAAACCACACCGTATACAGCCCAGTGTACATGAGTGACCAAACCACACCGTATACAGCCCAGTGTACATGAGTGAGTACTAGTGTATAGGGAGATGGCACAAGATCATCGTGCCTGAAACAATGCGCGTGTTGACGCTGGATTCATGACGAATGCTCTCTGTCATCAGTGGTCTATGCAACTTGCGATCGCGATCGTGGCCCTGACCTGCTAATCCCAAACGTGACCCAGCCCAGAGATGCCACATGCATTCGTGCATAAATCGGCCCCAGCATTACAGTTGCCCGTGTCGTCACCCTGTATGACACGACTCTCCGGTGTACATGTCTACTAACTAGGCCAGAGCACTTCTCTGCCCGGAAACAACGCAGCGCTCAGTTCAATACAGTATACTAGTACCGCATGCCCTAGTGATTATCGAGTTTGGTTGAGCAATCCGGATACTCCGTAAGAGCAGTCTGAGTGCACTTCCTTTGAAGTAGATGCAGCAAGGGGACACCGCAATGCGCGGCGAACGCACACTGTAGTGCAGCAGCCGTCACTGCTTACCCACTATCTGCGCTATTTCAAATGCCGTCGATCCATCCCTGGCCTTCAGATTGACATCGGCTCCATTCTCCACCAAGTACTCAGCAACTACGGTGTGCCTACAGTGCAGTAATAATAAACAGGAAATCGGAGCCAAACGCTGAGACAATGGACAATGGTAGCAGTGGACAATGGTAGCAGTGGACAATGGACAATGGTAGCAATGGACAATGGACAATGGTAGCAGTGGACAATGGACAATGGACAATGGACAATGGTAGCAGTGGACAATGGACAATGGTAGCAGTGGACAATGGACAATGGTAGCAGTGGACAATGGACAATGGTAGCAGTGGACAATGGACAATGGTAGCAGTGGACAATGGACAATGGTAGCAGTGGACAATGGACAATGGTAGCAGTGGACAATGGACAATGGTAGCAGTGGACAATGGACAATGGTAGCAGTGGTTCAGAAATTGGCCTGAATCATGACTGTCTCTTCAGGTGGAATAATTATAGGCAAGAGCAAATGAACAAGGACAATGAGTTTTAAGTATAGCAGAGAGGTGATAGAACAGCACGAAGAAGGATAGCTAAAAACAACAGCGATACTGTCACCAATACAGATAACATGCGTGACCCATACATATGAAAATAATGGCAATTGCAAGTGCGAGGAAGCCTTATAAGCGTGAAATGTAGTGCGGCAATAATAGACAAAACCACAAGTAACAAGATGTTAATGACCAACCTAACAGCCTAACAGCCTAAGTGTGAATCTAATGCCCGCTCTGTGTACATAGGTTAGGTTCGTTTGTGTGAATATAATAACACGGTTTCTAAAACACTCAACAGCTTTGCCAGGATTTCACACACAACAAATGTAAGTAACAAGTAAGTTAGCGACTCAGTGCGTGACAAACAAACCGACTCGTCTCTTACCCATAGTATGTTGCCTGCATTAAGCTTGTCCAACAGCTTATCAGATCCTGGGCATTGACATTCGCTCCAGCTTTGACGAGTGCCTCGACTACCTGCATGTCGGGTTGCATACGCCAGGATTTACAGGTTGCCAGCCAGCAATCAAGGTTCCACGTGCATGCAATGCTACTCAATGAAATCCGATCGCGTGCGAGTCAAGTTTGTGCCCTGCCTGCACCCAGTAGACAACCCAGTGTTCGCAGGTCTAGGGCTGCACAGCGCCCGGCGTGGCATTTACTCACTGGATCGGATTTCATTGAGCAGCACTGTACATGTACAGATTGTCCAACCGTCCCATGCACCCCCACAGCACTGGACATGTACAGATTGTCCAACCGTCCCATGCACCCCCACCCCCAGCACAGTACTGGACACTCCTGCTTTGAACCAAGACATTAAATTTTGTATACATGTTCCATGGGAGATGGTCGTCTTTGCATGTTTTATGTATAGCGTTAGTGTAGGCCCCGGTGTCCTGCTTGACATTGTGATAGGGTTGAGCAGCTTCCAATACATGCACACTCCTTATGCGGGGGAAGTTCATATCCGAGTCGGAGTCAGATCTATCTGGAAGTGCTACTGAGTCAATCAAGTGAGGAGCAAAGAATGCCCCCCCCCCCCCCATAAAGTGTCCACTGATTTCACGCCCAATCCGGCAGCTGACATGCCTGTGCAATGACTGGTCAGGCCAACAATGGGAAAAGGCCAAGACAGAACCGGCAGCACTAAGTTATGGTTGGATATTGGGAAGTCAGCACACAGTATCGAATGCCGGCCTGGATACAGCGGTACGCCCATGTACAACACCCAGCTGAGCTAGCGTGTTATACAGGACATGGAGCACTGTCCAGAATAGCACCTGACCTGGATATGGCCACGTATGGCGGCAAACATCAACGGAGTGGCACCGTCCGCATCACATGTTGACGCTTGTTGTCGGCTCTTAGACACAATGTGCTGGAGCAGCTGTAGATCACCTGTACCGAGTGATGTCGTGAGCAAGTGAAGCCCGGCATGTAAAAAAAAACAGACAGCAAAACCCCATCAGAAGTATGCATGTGCCTTCATTGCCAGTGTGAGTAACCTTTGATGCTATGTGTGTTCGTGCATGTTTGGTATCCAATGTCGTGTTTGTCCCTATAAATAATTTTATCCTGCATACACTGAACGTGCATGCATGCAACAACATGTCAGTGGCTGTCCTGCATGAAAACAAGATGACCATTGAGCTCAATGCAGCTAATGCTGGTAACTTCAAGTATAATGATTGGCCCGGTGCAGAACACGCTGGGGACCCTGTCCCGTATGCGTTGCCCCCCGGGAGTGTCATGATAAGTTGTGAAGCACATCTCAAAAAATGACTCACTTCTATGCTTTCAGCTCCTTTTATGATCACAGTACCGGTATACGTATACATGTGCATGTAGTTGACATACAGCCATCTCAATGCAATCATCCCTGTTACCACTTCTTCTCTAAACGCCGTGCTGTCTGTAGTATACAAGCACGCACAGGCACTGTACCTTCTTTGGCAGCGTCAAATATATTTCTCCTCGCGTCGCCTTCTAAACCTTCACCTGCAGCAACAACACAAGTAACCCATATACAGTCAACTGTGTATACTAATTACTTGTCCTGCATATTCAGTCAAGCCGTTCACTTGTACTATTCCCAGTCTACATGCTCACTCATGCTATTCCATACCTGTACTCCCAGTCTACATGCTCCCTCATGCCATTCACCTGTACCCCCCCCCCCCCCCCCCCAGCCTGTACTTACCTTGATGGCGACGTGTATGTCTCTCCAGCAGTTTCTGTACCTTGCTATGCCCCGTGAGAATGGCCAAGTCCAGTGCATTGCAGTCGCAGATGTTGGTCACCTCCGCATCGGCACCGCCGCGCTGCAATAGCAGTTGACACACGTCCGCGTGGCCGCACGCTGCGGCGGCCATTAGAGGCGTCCAGCCGGTGTCGCCAAGCTTGCAGTCCACTTCTGCTCCCCTGTGCAGCAGCAGGTCCACCACGGCTTTGTGCCCGCCGTAGCAAGCCATGATAAGCGGACACACGCTGCTGGCATTGCGCCTGCTACTGTTGGCCGTGCCCTCACCGTGAGTCGATTTCCCCTCCACATCGGCTCCAGAGTCAATCAGCATGCGCACTATCTCGGCGTGTCCACTGCTGGAAGCTATTGACAGCGGGCCAGCACCGACGGCATTCTGTGCCGATGGGTCGGCCTTGTTCTGTAGCAGCAGCTTAGTAATGTTTGCATTGCCCTGGCGACAGGCCTCTATCAGTGCTGTTGTGCCCAGGCTGTTTCTGGCGTTCACCGCCGCCCCTCGCTTCAGTAACGACCGGACAGCCTGCTCATGGCCTGCACTGGCAGCCACGGCTAGGGCAGTGTTGCCGCCTTGGTCCTGAGCACTAACGCTCGCGTGCCCATGATCCATTAGGGCTGTCAGGGACACCGTTTGAATGCTGCTTGCAGGCGACCATAGCGGTTGTGAGTGGGCTGGCAGAGCGCTACCATAGGCATGGCCGGACGTCGGAAAAGCCGGTTGGAACATTTCAGTACTTGTAGCTATCCTCTCCCTGTTGCTGTCCATGCTCAGAATTTCAACATCCGAAAGCCAAGGGGTTGCTCGTTTTCGCTAGCACCGACAGACGTGTAGATCTACGTAGCGAGACTGATGACTACATTTTTGAGATCCGCAGCGCCAAATCCCACCCCAGCTTCCCAACGTTCTTCCGAAATGAAGAGCGAATGCCTTCACAAAGCTAATGAATCTAGGGAAGACATAAACATGATAAAGGCGGACCAAAATTACAAAATCTTGCTGGCTGCAGCGATGGTTTCGGGCGTGTTCTATTTTTACGCAGTAGAACTAATTATTAGTATTACTTCCATTTCCAGCGGCACTATTCAGCCTCAGCTAGCTCAGCGCAGCCTCAGCATAGCAGGTATAGAGTGGAATCCTTGATTTTGCGGTTCAGGCTCTGGCTACCAGTACAGTATCACCAAGACAGCGGCATAGTGATTAGTGGACTAACGTAGTCGTTAGTGCTACAGGCACGTGATCATGCCATTCCCGTGATGCATGCCGTCTTGGATATTTTCTCCACCCGCATGTACATGATTGTGTTGGAAAGAAGGCATGCAGTCGGGAGGTTGAAGGCAGGGAGTGATACAAAGCCAAAGGGTTTCGATTCCCTGCTGGAAGCTGAAGCCGATGGTGAGGAGTGCGGCACAGCCATACCAGTTCAAAGATCTGTTGGTGTCTGAAACTTAGTATGAACGCTATTATATTGCCGAAACTTGAACAACATCTTGCACAAATTGGGTGGGTCAACTTTTTCAACTCAATAATCCGGCCATGGCCGGCCAGACCAGGTACTACTGCCCTGGACCAGGGAGCAAATGATTTGTGAACAACCACGGTTCCTATCTGGTTCCTACAATACTGTAACATAGTCACAAAAGAGTGAATGGAAGTCCTGGACTCCGAGTCCGACAAGGCCAGGAGGACATGATTGTAATGGGTGGCAACTGGCAAGTACAGGTGTACAGGTGTACAGGTGTACTTATGCTAAGTCTTCGAAGTACATGCAGTTCCTCTGGCAACCTGCAAAAGCGGCCTACCCAGCTCACAAATGTTCACGAGAAAGCAAAAGTAAATATCCGTCTCCGTTCCCAAGGGAACTCGCGACGACCGCTAACACCCGGAACGACAGCAATGCGTGTTGTAGAGGGCAAGGAAACTGATGACCGGGTCACCAAATCACACAACACAAGCAGAGGTAAGAAAGAGGTCATGATATGAAGATAAAAATACAGCTGAGCAAGCCTACGGCAAGAGCACAAGGCAAAAGCAAGAAGTATAATCTTTATGTCCAGTCAGGGTGTGCACAGCACAGTGAGGGAAATGAAACAAGTCCTGCATGATCCATTAAAAAAAGTAAACAAATAGAATAAAGATACGCCTTTGGCTTGGGCAGCTAGCAACTAGAACGAGACAACGGAAATGAAGACAGGCATGTTTCTTTGTGCAGGGGACAGAACAACGATGCTTACGGTATGTACAAAATCGACGACAAGACAGATACTTGGAAGGATATTTACAGTGAACGCACAGGCTACCTCACTACTGCAGATGGTGAGAAGAACACCAGATTGGATGTTCAGCGGGAAACCGCGCTGATCATAAGCATAGGCGAGGCCAGCCAAGACTGTACAAAGATAGAGAAGCTATACAAGGGTGATCTTACCCTACTGGGACAGAGGGACACACCTGTGGCAACTAGGAGTGAGCGCATATCATCATCATCATGTAGCATTGCCACTAGGCCCGTGATCACGGGAACCAGCAAAGTTGAACAGGCATTCTTTGATACCCTGAGCAATGAGACCATGAATGGCTTCTGATGATGCCTTGACGCTGTGACCAGAAAAGCAACAAGAGTACACAAAGGGACAGAGAAGCACTGCTTGGGTCTGAACCACATACATGTAGAGGAGATGGTTTCAAATAGGTAATAGGTTGCAAACCGGAACGGACGCAATATTCACTTTCTCTCTTGGTATTTTGATTAGACAACATATGTCACAGTGAAACTACGATGTGTTTTACTACGAGCCAAAATTTCATGGCTCTGCGATGACCAGAAGCGCCATACCCAGCAGGTGAGTTTTGACTTGTTGCTTCGCACTGTGACTTGAGTTTCACGTCTTTCGAAAAATCAATTTCTTGTCACAGGTAAACAGCGGCTCGCCTCTCGCCTATAAAGCACTGTGTACCAATGAAAACTAATGGAAGCACACACAAGGCTTACTGTTTCTCTGTACTGGCCGTCATGGAGCGATAGGAATTACCTAATTTCAGAACGCAGAGTGAATTTGACGTGCACTCTAAAATCTTTCCGGTTTGGAGCCACCTATGATTTGATACGAAAAATTGGGCACCTTGGAGGCAACGGGCCAACACAAAGGAGTGGCTCAGTTCGATCGACTCTGGCCTCAGAACGAACAAAACATGCCAGTTTCCTTCCACAAACATATTTCGAGTGAACAATCCACGCTGATGATCGGCTTGGGTCCAAAAAAATTTTGCTGTCAACCGTTCCCATTTCGATTTGAAACCGTGCCCTCTACATCGTGGGTCGTTTTGCTGACACCCAGAACGAAGGGCAGAGAAACCATTCCAGGACACTGCAAAGTATTACGTTTTAAAATACTTTTTTCTCAGGTCAAGCCGGAACTTTACACCCGACCCACACTGGGCAGATCCCCCCTAGGCCCTGCAGATCACTATGCATGAATAATCCAGGACTAAATGAACTCCCTGTGCAAGTCAGTGCCAGAGATCATGTTTCGTATTTTCTGGGGTCACGGCCTCACTATTCCTAATCTGATCAAAATCATTCCCGTGGCTTTTACCTCGGATATTCATTTTTCACGCAATCAAACACAAGTCTCAGTTGAAGCGGAACGCGGCATTTCGCCTCCGAGAGGGAGGGGAACTAGTCAGCTCTGGCCCTGGAGAACACAGTACATTAACATATCCACTGTTCACGTACCCATCGCAGCTTATCTTGTGTAGCTTAGGATCAACTACGTCAGATTGGCGCAACAGAGCCATGGGACGCTTCTCACCCTGTGTGGGAAGAAAGGCGACAAAAAAAAAAAGAAGATTAAAACCCACCAGCTCTAAATCGAGAGCCATAACACCAGAGACAGAGAACATAGAGGTGTGGCGCTTCGTCACAGGAGCATAACATAAATGCACAATGTGGGGGAGCATTGCACCAGAACCTCTCCCTGTGATGTACAAATGATATCACAGCATCTACGGAAACTACTGTAATTATTTCACAAATTTTTGGTGTACTTTTATTTTCGGTACTTTCAGTGCATCTGTTTCATACCTAAAATTTCAATACACCGAACAAACACTAACACACATAGTCCAATAGTGAACTGCTTCTCTGTACCTAAAATTTCTGTTCACCTAACCTGGCCTTTTGCCCTCATACCGAAAATATTGAGCACCGAAAATTTCTGAAATTTATAGAGTATACTATGCACGATGTTCAGGAGGACACTGCTAGTTTCTGTTGTGCATTGTCATCCAGTATGTATTCTAATAATAGCACAGCCACAGTATTCCATGTAGCTTCTAAATGTAGGTGTTTGGAACTTTGGACACGGACGGAGAGTTGGTTAGTAGTTTCCTGCCATATTGAATACTTCTGCAATATTGGCCGTTTTTACCTTTGTGCATTGACGTGCCTCAGACGGTGACCACCCGGTGATTGTCTGAGCGGTTATCTGCGGTTATTCTTTGTTAACCGTGCAGCGGAATTGTTCACTGTATTGTTTATTCCAATTGTTTCCTTTCGTCTGTGTTTGGCTCCTGATGTGCTGGCTGTGTGCTTTCAACCTACCATAAGAATCGCTGCGCTCCCATTATTCCATCAGAGAGAGATGATGATGAGATGATGATGATGATGATGATGATGATGCGATGAAGCATTCAGTTTTCTTGCAGTTGTTCCTAGAGTCGGTGTTACGTTTATTTCTTGTACTTGTGTGAAAAGATCGAAGAACAACACCTATCGAAAGGCGTGTGTTGTATGAGTGTCTACAGGGGCATTATAGGCAGTTCGAAACTGAATAGAAGGGGCGTTCTCCATCACTCCGAGGCCTTGTTGTTGTGGATTGCCGATAGCGGATTCGGCGGATCTCGTGATCCTCCATAACATGGTCGCATGGTAGCAGAGGATGGTTTTCCAGTAGTGTCAAAGTGAGTAGACAGTTGTAGTGAGTTTCGATATCGAAGATGGAGGACGTTGACACAAGAGTCGAGAGTAGCGCGGAAGACGAGTCGCAACAGCGCGGCGGTACGCCTCAGCAATCGGATTCTGTGGCGAGAGATGAGAGCATCGTAGTGTTGCGCAAACGGAAGGCGCAAGCAAAGGGACACTTCACCAATGCAAGGAGGGCGCTGTTAGTAGGCGCACACAATGGGCAGATTGAGAACGTAGAAGCGGAACAGTCGCGTCTACAAGGCTGCATGGAGGAGGTCGCGGCAGTCATCGACGAATTATTGAACATCACCAGCGATGTCAAGGAGAAGTTACTGCTGATAGCAGAACTGGAAACGCTACAAGCCGAGTACAGTGCCGCAGTTGAGGATCTGCCTGTGCCTTCGTACGGGACCGGAGGCGATCAGGAAGTCACTCAGGCGCAACAAGGAAGTGATGCAGTATCCAGCCAGCGAGGATTTACTGAGAGTGGTAGATCTACTCGTAGTCGTAGAGGTCACACACGGACCTGGCCCTGGGACTCGGCCAGTGCAACTAGTCCTAGATACGCGCCGGAATCTAGTACTGGCGGAGGACTCGCGATGAGCGCTCTAGGTGATTGGCAGCAGAGCACTGAACCTGAGGAGGCCAGCTTTCTCAGCGGTATCGGAGGCTTCGGAGCCTTTGGCGGAGTGCGAGGAAGACAGATGCCCGTGGCCTCGTGGCCTGGGTACAGATATAGGGAGAGACCACTAGCTGCGTTACAGGAAGAAGATCCATGGATGCGTCAGTCATTCGCAGCGCACTCGGACTCCCCCGACTTGGAGACTCGAGACACGCGCTCCGAGTCACTTGAACAACACCAGGGTTTCGCCAGCTACAGCCAAGGAGCAACGGACATCGCGAGCCAAACATCACTGCTAGCTTCGAAGGCTAGCGGAGCAGCTGCATCAGCAGCGTCAGTGCCCTCAACGGTGAGTGCTGCAAACACAGTCATTAGTTCGACAACCACGGTACTCGCTTCCGGAAGATCGCCATCGATCACAGCCACTAGCATCAGTGCCAGAGCGCCTACACTGACCACAGCCAGCGTCAGTTCCGAACCTTCCAAGTCGTAGTAGTAGTAGAACGAGCGTACCCGCGGCTGCGTCTTGGACAAGCCACAGCCTACGTGCACCGGTGTCAGCAGTCAGTGCCAGTACTACTAGTCAACCCTATGCAGGTAGCGCTCCAGTCCTACAGCCTGCAGCGTCTAGTTCGCAGTTTGGAGGCCATCAGCACTTTCAGGCTGCCATGCCCAGGGCAAGACCACCGCCACCAGCGTTTGCTCCACCGCCTGGACATGAGCCATGGACGCAGATGAAGAGAGTATCGATAGAAACTTTCACCGGAGACAAGAGGAGGTATGAAGAGTGGAAGGCGTCCTTCATTGCCTGTGTTGATTCGTCACCGGCTACTCCAGAGTATAAGTTCCTCCAGATGAAGCAGTTTCTGGGCGGGGACGCGTTGCAAGCCGTCGCCAATCTAGGCTACACGCAGAGAGGCTATGATACAGCCAAGGCACGGCTAGAGAAGAAGTTCGGCGGCAAGCGCCGTCAAGTCGCAATGTATGTGGAGGAGCTGGCTCGGTTTACCGGCATCTCCGGAGACGACCCCAGGGAGCTTGAACGCTTTGCAGATTTACTGGAAGTCGCTACAGTGAATCTGCAAGATGCTGGTCATTTCGCTGAGCTTCAGGCCGGAACATTCTACATGAACCTGCTTCGGAAGCTGTCTGAGAAGCTCGTCGCCCAATATCAGCGGTGGCTATTTGAGCAACGGAAGCAAGAGTCGGTTCTCGCTCTGTTAGAGTGGGCTACCCAAGAGGCGGAGTTCCTCGTAACGGCAACCGAGACAGTACGAGGGATGACGCGGTCCCGGCAACCCAGATGGAGCAAGCCGACCACGAATGCCAGCGGCAACAGTGAAAAGGCCAGGACCTATGCCAGTTTCAGCACCAGCTCAACCCCGCAGAAACCGCAGAAGTCGCCGAAGTGCCCCACTTGCGAAGGAGAGCACAGTATCTGGCGGTGCAAGGCATTCCTGGAGATGGACAACGTACAGAGATGGACTGAGGCCCGGCGAGCAAATCTCTGCTATCGCTGCTTGGCATTTGGACACCGAGGTGGTGAATGCAAGCGTGGTTGGACATGTGGAGTAAACGGCTGCCAGGATAATCATCATCGTCTCCTCCACGCTACGAAGGGTGGTGCGCAGAAAGGCACGCCGTCTAGTGGCCAAGCCAAGGTTACACCCAGTGATGCCGAGAGTAAGAACCGGACAGGCGAAGTAGATGGTTCTTGTTACGCAGTGCAGGCTGTTACCGAGGGGGAGCTAACAGCTGGAGCGACAATGGCAGCTCACTCGTATAGCAAGGTGGCACTACGGATTGTGCCAGTGATGCTACGCAACGGCCCACAGGAAGTCACGGTGAATGCCTTACTGGACGATGCTAGTACAACCAGCTACATCAACGCAGCCGTGGCTGGCCAGCTCGGTATCAGTGGAACTCTGCGACGGTCGACAGTCAGTACATTGAATGGGAAGGTGGAGACCTTCATGACAGCACCGGTCAGCTTTACCATCGCTAGTATGGATAACTCGTATCAGCAATCGGTGACAGCGTTCACCACAACGAATGTAACCGGGGACCTACAGCCTGTGAACTGGTCGCACGAGGCTGAGAAGTATGGTCACCTCCGGGCTATTCCCTTCCCGCCACTGCGCAAGCCCAACGTCATCGAACTGTTGATTGGAAGCGACAATGCAGAGCTAATGATGTCCCGTCGGGACATTAGTGGCGCTCCCGGACAACCAATAGCACGTCAAACACCGCTGGGATGGACATGCGTCGGCAAAGTACATGCAGCGGACACAGACTCGCACCAAGAGGCCTGCCACGGCCAGTCTTTCCTGTGTTACGGCGGCCCATCTGTGACATCACTTGAGGCAACGCTACAGCGCTTCTGGGAGGTAGAGCGCTACGGCATGAGCGATGGGCTTCAGGAGCCTGGCATACGATCAGCCGAGGATGAGAGCGCGCTCAAGACAGTGCAGCGGGCTATACAGATGGTGGATGGACGATACCAGGTTAGCATACCATGGAACAGCAGGAAAGTTGAGCTCACGAATAACATTGTGATGGCCAGGAAACGGCTGACAAGCACAGAGCGCCGCCTGCAAAAAGATAGCACAGTTGCAGCGGCCTACCGAGATGTGCTGAAGAGCTACGAGGACAAAGGCTACATCCGGGAGCTTGGTGCAGCAGAAACGGAACAAGATCAGTGCTGGTATCTGCCACACTTCGCAATCGTAAGGCCACAGAAGACCACAACAAAAGTTCGCATAGTATTCGACGCAGCAGCTAACTACCGTGGACTGAGTCTGAATGATGCAATCAACCCGGGGCCAAGGCTGCAACGAGACCTCTGTGACGTCCTGACAAGGTTTAGAAGAAAACCAGTTGCAATCGGATGCGACATCTCTGAGATGTACCTACAAGTGGCATTAGCACCGGAAGACAAGCCGTATCATCGCTTTCTGTGGCGGGACAGGCCAGACGCTGATGTGCAGCACTACGAGTTCAATCGCCTCGTCTTCGGGATCAATGCATCGCCGTTCCTAGCTCAATATGTGGCGCAGCAAACAGCGCGAGAGCATGCAGTTACGCACCCTCTGGCAGCGGATGCAATCCTGGCATCGACGTACATGGAAGACACCATGGATTGAAGTTTACCCGGGTCCAGACGGGCATGTGCGAGTTGTAAAGCTGCAGGCCGGTAATCAGCAATACAAACGGCCTATCTCCCGTGTGTGCCCACTGGAATGCTGAAGTCATCTAGTGAGGTACCGCTACAGTCAGTAGCCGATATGCTGAATGTATCATACCAAGAGGAACACTGTGCAAGCTGTGTGCCTTGCTGAAAACGTGAAATAGCTATTCATATTCTTCCGTTGCAGCATGCGGTGCTGCTGCCCATTATTCTCTGTGCACATTTGTTACGCTGTATATGCATTTTTGGCATAGCAAATCAGTAGTTGCCACATGCTACTCTGGGAGCATATGGCGAGGGGGAGGATGTTCAGGAGGACACTGCTAGTTTCTGTTGTGCATTGTCATCCAGTATGTATTCTAATAATAGCACAGCCACAGTATTCCATGTAGCTTCTAAATGTAGGTGTTTGGAACTTTGGACACGGACGGAGAGTTGGTTAGTAGTTTCCTGCCATATTGAATACTTCTGCAATATTGGCCGTTTTTACCTTTGTGCATTGACGTGCCTCAGACGGTGACCACCCGGTGATTGTCTGAGCGGTTATCTGCGGTTATTCTTTGTTAACCGTGCAGCGGAATTGTTCACTGTATTGTTTATTCCAATTGTTTCCTTTCGTCTGTGTTTGGCTCCTGATGTGCTGGCTGTGTGCTTTCAACCTACCATAAGAATCGCTGCGCTCCCATTATTCCATCAGAGAGAGATGATGATGAGATGATGATGATGATGATGATGATGATGATGCGATGAAGCATTCAGTTTTCTTGCAGTTGTTGCTAGAGTCGGTGTTACGTTTATTTCTTGTACTTGTGTGAAAAGATCGAAGAACAACACCTATCGAAAGGCGTGTGTTGTATGAGTGTCTACAGGGGCATTATAGGCAGTTCGAAACTGAATAGAAGGGGCGTTCTCCATCACTCCGAGGCCTTGTTGTTGTGGATTGCCGATAGCGGATTCGGCGGATCTCGTGATCCTCCATAACACACGTGACTTCTCAAAAGTCAAAAGCTGCACACATTAAAGTCACATAAATGAACTTATGAGTGGTACTAGATGTGTCAAGTACAGGTAGTGCCACAACGATCTCCTCATTGATTCCAGCCGAATCAGACGGTGGTGTGTGTACACCTACGCACAGGATTACTATCTCCTACATACAGTACACTCGTAGCAGAGCTTGCCATCACGTTCCGAGAATACTAGCACACGTCGAAAGGAATTCCGCAAAGGCATGACTAACAACACAGATCCGCAGTCTTATCAATGAATGCTACTGGGAGTAGTGATCCACCATACCTTGGCCAGGTCAGAGATCTTCTTGGCAATATCTGCAATTTGCTCAGCTAAGTAAGATGCATTCTATGCAGGAACACAGCAACAATCAAAAGCATAGTTACTGTAGCAATTTAGCTTTTCAACCCAAAAGTCTGGCCAAGAAGCAATAATGGAGAAGTTAAAACTTGAGATGTCCATTCATTGGTATCATGGAGGTGGTATGCGACGGCGGGGAATTGGAGGAAGAGTGGCCCGCAACAATTGAATGCGGATGTGTCCAGTATCAAAGGTGCACCAGCATGGGTTTAAACTTGTCAACAAATACAAATGGTCAGCTAGAAAAGGAAGAAAGGAGAAGATACAGTAGAGTGAGAATTGGCTTACTGTGAATAGCGGTGAGGCAGATAGCGTTGTTAACCAGTACTTATTCCACAGCAAATCCAGCATTCGACTGTCGGTAGAGGACTTGAAATAGCTGACGTCCAATTGATAGTACCTAAGGAAGTCAACAAAGTTCCAGGGATCCATTTTACAAATACAGGTCAGACACATGGCAAGCATCAGTGCACCCCTCTCCCCAACGCACACACACACACACACGCACACACACACACGCACGCACGCACGCACACACACACACACACACACACACACACACACACACACACACACACCATGTACCACACACACATAACAGATACACTTACTTCTGATAAAAAAAAGAGGTTCAGCAAACCACCAACAAAGGCATCAAAAGTGGCAAGCTCATATACTTTCAGCTTTGCAGGTGAATTCAACTCTACAACAGAGATCACCATCAATGCCATCACCGCCACAACCACCCCAACCATACAATAACACCATTCAGAGCAAGAATAGGGTAGCTTACTCCTTTGCATGGACACCGAAATCTTCAATCTTGTCCAAAGGAATGCTCTGGTACTCGGACTGCTCAGAATCCTGTGCTGCCTTGTAGTTCTAGATAAAGAGTGAGGAATGATGCAACAGTCACAAAGCAACCATAAAAAAAAAAACTCTGCTACACTGCAATGTACTAGTAAGAGCGCCTAATTGGCTCACTTCCACAAAGTTTAGGGTCTCTCACCCCCCCCCCCCCCCCCCCCCCCCCCCGCACACACACATACACATCATGTACCACACACACGCACCCCCCCCCCCCCCCACACACACACAACCCACCAAGCAATAAAAGCTAGCACGGCCATCACCCATCACCGAACACATCAAAGCCCAATCACAGCGGCGGCGTACCTTAGGATACGTCCGGAAAGCGCCAAGGTTCACTTTCCCAGCTGATATGGTACGGACAGGATCAATCTGGAGGAAAGAGACACGGCACCATTCAAGCAGCCACAAAAAGAGGGACAGGTAAATAATATTACAATGACATCGAATGAAGGACACTGAAGGCATAAAATCATAGCTGGAAAGCTGGGACCAGGAGAAGGGGGAACTCGCTCCACACACTACCATGGCTAGGAAAGCATCAGCACTCACGCAGCACAGCTTTCAACAACACACTGGCCGAGATCAGTCCGATCTGACTCACCACAACAGCTACAAACGGCTCTTGGAACGTCTGATTGTTCATCTGCGTATGACAATCAATTCCCGACAGCCAGCAGCCATAACCAGGATGGCTATGGTACCAGCCGATGGCATTTTCGTTTCGACCAATCTGCCCAAAAACAACGATACAAGAAAAATAAAGCGAATCAAAGCAAGGGAGATCAGCTCAGATTATCAACAAAATTCCTAATTGGCACTAGGAAAACGTCAATGTGGCAGTACTAAAGCATACATATTGGCCAATAGAAAATTGATGGCAATTGCGGGGGAGTTAGGAGGGTCGATTGTCAGATGAATGTGCAAAAGCACACGCACTTGAGAACAGCATACCATAAACACCATGCACACCCACATGCACACCCACCCACCGACACCCACAGACACACACAGACACACACGCGTACACATACACATATGCACACACACACGACCACCGCACAAGTGGGAGTGCCACTCTCGTCACTCACCTTTTCCGCCTCAATCTTGTACTCAACCATGTATTCATTGGCCTCACTCTGAGCATTGACACGTGTCTCTGTGCCCTGTACCGGTAGGGCAAAGCTGTCCAGGACGATCATTGTGTTACCGTCTACTTTGCCCGTCATCAGCCCCATGATCTCATATTGACCACCAGAACGAGCGTGCATCACCTTTCAACCATGTGCAAAGAGAAAAAAAGCAGCGTAAGACATGATCGTACACGTATAGTCAAGGTCATAGAATATGTGATGCAGAGATACACCACACATGTTGATACCCAAACACAAAAGGTTCACAGCAGTGGTCAATCTCGTGCCTGCGTCTTTGTAAGAAGAGCCACTGAGAAAGAAAACTCGTAAGAAACTCACGTAAGCCAAAGAAAGAGAAGGACCCGAAGACAACGACAGATACGCCGGTGGACTTGCCTACTACACCAGACAAGTAGTACTATGGCGGAATTCTTATTGAAACATTATTATTGATTCAACGGCCCAAGTCTGAAGACTTAGGAGTTTCTTCATGCCTGCACCTGACTCTTGCGCTATGATACGCGTCGCCCATGATACCCCTCAGAATTTCCCACCTTGCTCCCCCTATGTTCTGGCTGCCCGTTTTGGATCCATCAGTTGCCTGATGATCGTAGTAATACGTGAAACTCAGAGTTGTAACAAAGCTTCCAATCTCTCTCTTGTATTATTGATTCAATGAAAGCGGCTTATACCAAAACCTGTTTGCGCTCTGATCGCGTGTACGGCGAGGAATGGAGGCTAGGGCCAAAACTGTAGGGTAGTCTCATATCTTGAGATTGTTTGGTCGAGAACCTGGTGGCATGTGTAAGCCTATGATACGTGGAGCGAGGAAACTGGGCATATATCTAGAACCAACGAGCAATGTACTCACACGAGGGCCCGCTGGTTCGAGATATAAACATTTGGCAGTGAAACTGACATACAGGGTTAGGATCCTGGAGTCACGCTTGTTCAGCGGTATGGACGGGTATAGGTGTATAACACACTTTACACGGTGTCATCACCGGTAGTATATCAGGAGCTGCAGTATGAACTATTACTTCATGGTCATGACACCTACACAGACTTATTCTGCAAATCGAACCCTCTATGGACAGTGGATGAACTTCACATGGCGAATTTCTACCTAGCGTGTGACAAGTGTTGATTTCTCATCACCTTACGTGCTTTAATAGTTGTAGTCTCTAACCACTTGAGCCAATATTCCCCGTAAGTTACTAAGCCCAACGGAGCATACAACATATACCGTAGTGATGCGCATGTGCCTATACCCGGGCATAAGCGCATGGGCTTAGAAGTGAACCTAAACGCAGTCCACCCCGCGACACACAGACACCACAAAAACACCATGTTCACATAGTTCAAAGTGAATTGCGGTATCGCACTACCGGTATGTGCATAATTATGCAAGGCACCGGTACACTAGCAACTCAAGCGCATGTGCCCATGTGTGAGAGACAAAACGACCCGAAAAAAATAGCAAATAACGCAAAGACTCACTCATAAGCGCACAGGCCTTTATGTGCGTCACTAGGGTAATATAATGTTTACTGACACTCACAGTCAGACACCCCTGTCTACACTAAGTAATGTAGCGTCCCATAGCCTGGCATAGGTGTTCGTCTTTGCACAGTGTAGTTTAGCTCTTCTTGTCTCACTTTTCTTTTTGAATTTTTCGCTACAAGCGGTGAAGTTTTCATTTTAGGGTGAACTTCCCCGTTAACATCTGTTCTCCTGAAAAGTTGAGGGACCTTGTCTGAAACTTATGGAGCTATAGAGCATTGAAAAGCGTGTGAATTAAGATATGAACGAAGTGAGTGCTGCTCTGTTGTTTGTTTTCCTGGAGAAATAAGATACGTTCAACGTCCATTTAATCATTCACCTCCAAAGGAACACCAACCAAGATTCACTCCTCACTGCACTCACCATCTTCAATAGAGCCAAGGCCGAGATTTTGACTTCTTTGAAGTAGTTTGGGCTGTTCACACATTCAAACAAGTGAGATAATACAAATTTGATCTTGAGAATGCTATTGAATTTGAAGTATTTGTTGAAAAAAATTCCTCACTCTTTGGACCAAGGGCGAGCAGATTGCACCTCCTTTTGTTCTTCGGCATTGAAGTGGAATATTTCATCCACGCTAGCTACTTTAGATACTTCATTCTCCAACTCGAAAGTGGCTCGGGCAATGTCAACATCCATTGCGTCCATTATCGCATTTGGAGACAAGTCAACATTCGACTGAAAACGAATCAGTGATTTTGCTGTGTTTTGCCAAGGTCGGGACTGTACTGGTGAGTCCCTCGCAGCTCGACACTCGACAGTCGTGATCATTACATCTACTTGCGAATAATCTAGTGTCATAGTCTACGTCATCATGGTAATACTGCACTGCGCTGCGGTATTGAATTATTTGAAGAGTGCATGCAAGGGTTATGAACTCTTGGTGCATGCAAGAGACAGGATTCAGAAATTCAAAATAGTATACACATTCATTACTTGAAAACGAAATGAACAGTCATTTACATTTTTACCTTTTCAAGCTTGCAGAAGAAAATTGATAGTGGCTGACTTCATGCCTTGTATTTGCTCCCGTGTGTTGCTGTGAATGGTTTTGTCGTTCCACTGACTCTGTGGATGGTTTCTATCGCGAGCTGACTTGCTGGCTTTTCCCGCGTGGTAGCATGCCTCAAAGGCACCGAAGAAGTAGTCAGGATCGTCCAGTGGACCTAAGACCGACTTTCCATTGCTGTCCAAGTTGCGAAAGACCCTACTCTGTGTCATGTAACGTTAGTCAAGGTACATCATTATATCAGCCATTTTTGTACAACACCATTTCGACACCTTTGCTCCCGATAGTCGTGTACAGTTCATGCCAATCTTCCTTTTATTTAGAAAAAAAACTACAGTACCTTTAAAAAATAGTCGGTATGGAGATAATAACAGTAAAATAGCAATGAACAAAATTAAACTGGCGCTCATGTCAAACAACAAAGTACCGAAGGTTTTGTTCTAGAACGTTTTCTTGTTCTTAATATAAGTTATATCCTTTTTGTTGGTCATCCATTTTCTTTCAGTCACGAGATTCCATTGATGAATGTGACAAGAAAACGTTCTGGAACAAAACCTTTGCTACTTTGTTGTTTGACATGAGTGCGAGTTTATTTTTGTTCATACAGTACATTGCGTTTGATTATTTATCAGAGATGATGAGTAAAACTCAGCTGCCATCCCATAATCATCACAGGGATGAATTTGCTGTCATATTTTTGCATAGCAGTTTCTGCTATACGAAATCACAGTTGTGTAGCAGTCTTTTATTTTGATTAGCATTTTTCTTTGAAGGTTGGGTGTTTACCACATTGTCCTTTTGGAAAGTGATGCCTGAAAGCCCGTTTGCAAAAAGAACGACTGAAGCATACATGTGCATGCAGATTGAGAGTGCCTGCACCACATACACTGCACTGTATGCATGTTACTTGACAGCGCAGGCTAGGCATGGATAGCCTGTATGTATCGCAATTTTCTGCGAGTCACGGTGACTTTTGAGTAGCAGTAGATCTATTATGCATCGCAAACTGCGATGCGATACAGGATAAATTCATCCCTGCATCATCACTTTCTTTTGCTGCACAGAACTTCTGAAGAATACAGTTGGACACATGTCGCGCAATAATCCTCAGCGACTCTCATTGCGAAGTCAAAATCTTATGTCCAAGACACCACAGTATTTCTGTATTGCATTTCATGAACCGAATGTCATTGTGTCATATATTATAAAATAGATAAGACATGTGCCTCTCCGGCTCCAATGGTCTTGAATACTATTAGCACCTTTTTTGGAGAGCACTGACTTACGTGAAGTGCAACATTTACTAAGATAATTGTACATGTAACTTTACTTGACCAAACAAAATTTAGTGCCGTTCTTGGTGCTTAAACTTAATTATTATAAAACAGATAAGACAGCTAGTGACCCAATAGATATGCTTCTGAAGATCATTGTTGTCTTTTGTTTGCCTGGCAGATTCAGGCCCACGCTCAAGGCTCCCCTTGTTGTTGCCGTGTGGCCATGACTTGTGTGAAGTTTGCATCCGAGCGTGCCTGGCTGGACAGGGCCGATTTAAGCCATCCCGCCATGGCTTCGTCATATGTCCATTCTGCCGCGTAAGTGAATGTGCGTGTGTGTGTGTGTGTGTGTGTGTGTGTGTGTGTGTGTGTCCCATATGGTGCAGTGAGGTTGCGGGTTCCAATTCTCGACGATTATGGTCACACACGTCTTTCTTCTTTCTCGGACTCCTCCTGACTTTTCTTTCATTCTCCTGCGTGGTTACCAACAGCCAGTGCACGCTGAAGTATGTGGTGTGATGTGTGTGCCGGAAAAAATATATGAAAAAGACCAAAAAGTAGGGATTTCCTGACCAGAAAAGTCACTTCAAATCAGGGAGTACTAAAAAACCCGCGAGGTGACATGCCACTAATCCTGATTAACATAGTAATGATTGAGCTTAGTTTCAGTTTCGCTCTGATCAGCTTTGAATGCGCCTATCTTAGGTCTAGGCTGTGTGTGTGTGTGCGTGTGCGTGTGTGTGTGTGTGCGTGTGTGTGTTGGTATGTAAATGGATATGCGCACATTTTGTGTACTTTCTGCTCCCAGGACGAAACAGCGTTTGAAGATGGTGTCAAAAGCATTCACTATCTCAATTGTGATTGCTATGTGACTGGGCACATCGCCATGCAACAGGACAACAAAGCAAGGAGGTGCGACGCTACACATTTGCTAATTGACATCATGTATTGCATTGATAGTTGCCAATCTGTTTGTTATACCATGTCTCCACGCATTGTCTGTGGTGTGGCAAGCCCAATGCTAGATTAAACGTCCTGACCACCTGCTCTGTAAAGCAAGGATTTCCAATTTTCCACCAGCTGGATGCGAAAGCTAAAAAGAACACCGCTATGTGTGCATGCGCCTATGGGCGTGTAGTTTTGCACGACATATTAAAGAAAGGCTGCGGATATGTGCCAGCCAGTTGGTATCTCTTTTTTTGATAGCACCCACACATCCACCACCCAAGTTTGGATATCCGAGTGTGCTTGTCATAAGGCAGTTCTTCTTTCCCTATCTTTTGGGGAGAGCCGCATAGCTATTGGTAAACAGTGAGCAGGTACAAGTGGGTGGGTAGTTTCTAGGTATGGTTTCTAGGTATGGGTGTTCTTCTTTGCACTCTAATCTAATCACCCAGTTTTGTCGTTGTTCGTTTCCCATCAGGAGAAGTTCACCATCTGACGAGACGACAGTGAAGAAGTGGTATGGCCCTGGTGGATTGAGCCTGCAGATCTCAGAACGGGTAGGTCTAAACGCACTAAAACCCGTTGTTTCAACGTAATGCTATCACCCTGCCACTGAGTACATGTTTTGCACTTGCTTGCACCAGCCTGCTTATCTGTAGGCGTCTACTTTGAGATCGATGTTTTTTGGTGTTTGTATGCTGACTTTAGATGGTTGAAGACCGTCAAAGCAGCCACCCAGTGTCCTATTTTGACGTTAAATCTATGCTTTTCGGCTGGGTATAGCTTTGTGAAATATTCTTCGGCTGTTCATGTGTCCATGTCCTGTTGACAGGAGAATGTCTTCAATCGGCTTGCCAGGTTTTCTGACGTCAAGCTTTCTGACCCGCCATCTTCCGAGTCGCACTCTGCGTCTCACCGCCATCCGTGCATAGAGTGTGAAGGCGAATCGACAGCCTGCTGTGAAGTGTGCGATGCCACCTACTGTGATCCGTGTTTCGATGAGGTATGTTCCCGCTGTTCAGGCTTGTTTGTTGGCATAGAAATCTCATATTATACAGTTTAATCATACGTGTGCGTATGAGGGGAGCGCAATGGTATTGCTGGATCGCGATAGCCCTCAAAGTACCTTCGCGAGTGTGAGCCTTGTGGATCGTCTAAAAAATTACCGGTTCGTCTGAGACTCGATTAGAGGTCGAGTTTTCCGCACCCGTGGGAACGCCACCACCCTCAAGGATCAAGGCGCAGATGCAGCTCGTAAAGCGGTGGGAGGTGAGTAAATCAGACCCACCACAAAGTGGTCAACGACCGAAAATCCCATTCGCTGCATTCATTCTTCCCTTGTGCCAGGCCACGAGTTCCCAGTTAACTGTGGGTCGCAGCTGTGGGTCGCAGCTGTGGATCCTCGATCAATTTCAGTTCTCAAGATCTTCGTTCTTTCCATTCTTCGTCTATACAGTAGAATACTGATAATTCGAAATTGGTGTCATTCGAAGGTCCTGCTTCTTTCGAACATTTTCCATGCACCGATTTCTGCCTGTACAACGTCCATGCAAATGAGTTTGATAATTCGAAGTAGGTACGAACAGCAGTACTCATAATATTTCGAAGTGCTTTGTGAGCATGGGTGATACCTTCGGCACAGAAATTAGCACCGATAATTCAAAGTTCATGACATTCCAATTCAAACCTACTAGTTCGAATACTTGTACCTTACCTGCTACGTTGCTGAGAACAGCGCTCATGAGAGTCGAAGTTGCTGTCGGCACAAATCTGCAACACTGTGATTGATCCTCTTTGCCGCTGGCTTATCGATCTCACGAACCACTTGACCAGGTGTCGGCGCAAGCCCCGTCATCACCAGCAAGCGAATCGTCTTCAGATTGCAACGAAGTTTTGAGTTCTGGCGTTACGCACCGGCATCAACCAAGTGCGTGTATTCCGTTTCCTATTTACTGACACGCTAGGCTCTAGTTTTTTTTCCTCTGTTACACGGGCATGATGGCATGATGGCACGATGCCCAGAAGATTATTCCTAAAGCAGAGACACGTGTTTACTGGGTGCTTAGCATCGATTGTCAATTTTCAGTTCCTTTTTGTTTTCGGTGCTCCGTTGCTGTGCAGATCCACGAGCCGTTCAATATGGCCAACAGCAAGCACAAGCGTCTTCCACTCGAGCTCAGGTATGTGGGACATTCACTGTTGACATGTCACAATGAATGTTCCTGCTGCTTCTGCTGCTTTTTCAGAATGGCTGTACCCGAAATACCTCCCGACACACAGATCCTGCACACACCCTCCAAACACAGGAGGACATAATTGGTTACATTTCTGTAACTACAATTCTTATGGACGTAGTACGGGTGAGGCATCCTGATTCTTATGTGGAGTTGAGGGAAAAACTTCGACTCAAAATACATCTTTATATAGAACTCTCTGTCTCTAGCTCTAAAAATTTAGAAGAAGAATCAGAGAGTGCTGAAACAACAAAGTAAAATCATTGAGCACCAGCTACTAAGTGCTACAACAGAATATTGTAAAAGCCATTATTCTAATGAGCTGCTATTATAACGATTTCCTAAAATTGACCGATTTACGTGTACCAAAGGTAACGATTCTCACTCATTCTCAACGCTCGCTAGCAACAGTATAAGTATCGATTTCTTTTGTGTATATACTATAGCGTTTTTTTACCACAGATTTCTCCTCGTTAAAGCCTAGTTCACATTCGACGGAACGCTGACGGTACGGGATGTAAGGGCCTGTCGGGAAGGCTGAGGTGAGCTGTAAAATCTTGTACGATTCGTACGACACGACATGCTGCAGTCGTTGCGTCGTTCAACAGCGAACAGCGACGGTCATAAGTCACGGTCCGTGACGGGGTGACTTTTGGACCTAATTTCTTGTTTTTCGGGACTTCTTTTCAATTATTTCTCCTTCAATGAAGCGGAATCAAATCCACAACACTAGGTTTTCATGAAGACCAAAAAAGTAGCTTCGAAAGGTGTGCCATTCAAATAATAGCTCCAGGAAATAATATAACAGTTCATCTGTCACGCTCCTGAGCTATCCCTAAATACCATAATTTGACCCGTGCTCTGCGAAAACCGACCTTAGGTGCTTCGTAATTTTTTCGAGAAAAAGAACAAAACGTCACGATCTGTCGATTTTTGAAGATTACAAGGTGAGAGTCATGGCGGAACGAAGCAGAAGACGGTCGCTAGCTCAAATTGCTGTGGGCTTCTCCCCAGAGGTTTTAGCCGAACTCCTTCACGATGAATAGTCATTTTTTTGGCCTGGTCCAATCGCAGTTCTGATGACAGTAGTGCCGAGAAGAGTCGGATGTGGAATCGCAGGACGTAACGCTGATCGAGCTGGACGGTGATGCGGAGGAGAATTTCGATCAGGCGTCGGTTCTGCCACCAGCCCAGCCCCTCAATGCCGGCAATAAACAGAGTGCAGACCAAGAAAAATCGGTTCAAGTACTGTCTACAATCCAGGAGGCGCGTGACAAGTTTGACAAGCGCTGTAGGTGTTCCGCACTGGTGCTGTTTCAAGAGCGTGACACTTGAAACCTTGCTTACACTTACAGCACACAGCGCAGGTCCTGATCAAGACAGATCGCTGCTTGTGTGTAGGCGGAAAGCTAGACGTGCTCAGGAGACGTGGTGAGGCTACCCAGCGCGTCCAGCATGCTGGGAGATGTGATCTGGTGATAGATGGGGCTCAACAATACTACTCTGAACTACTGAAGTACAGTCAGTGGCTGGTGTGGAAGTCATGTACATGCATGTCAGGAAGTCTTTGTGTGTGCCTCCAGGATCAAGCCCTGGGTGCTGAAATCTGTGCAGGCTGCTGTCAGTGCAAGTAAAATCAGCCCAACACAGGAATTGAATGAACTCTGGAATGCACTGCCTGTGGAAGATGTTGTGGAGCTGAAGCATTTTATAGAGCAGTACGCTATGCTAGTATTATGCTATAGTTCATGGCCTCCCTTAACCTGCGCCTCCACATGGGCACAACAAGCCAGTACCAACCTACATGTATTTGCCCAGTATCACTACGAAGAAGCTTGTTCACCAGGCGTTCACAAAGCCTGGTGGCAAAGCTGCATACAGTACGTTTGGCAAGATTTGGAAAAGAGACTGCCATGATATCACCGATTACGAAACAATGTGTGCGGCTGATGTAGACATAACTAGATGTTCTAACTACCAGTACCAGATAAAACTATCAATATCCTTTAACCCGGCATTGATCCTAGCTTCTTCACTACTTTGCACCTGCCTCTACGCATCACTCCGGCTGGCATATCCTCAAACAGAGCCAAATACCTCTTCCACCAGATTCGTGAGCAACACCATCCACAGAACAGAGATAGAATGTGTCTATCTCCACAACAGGAAGATCCAATGCCATCATAAACCTTTCCTTTTGAGGATTATGACATACAGATTTATTCTGCAAAGTTTGGTTGCAATCATGCTGCTTGAATTCTCACAGCATTGGTTCCGAAATGTAGCATAAAATCCTGGATTTTTGCTATTTTCCTCCAAAAATTGCAGGAAAAGTGCAAAGAAATTGTCATTGTATCTAACTGAATATGTATGCAATCCACCTAAAACTTCACCAGACGTTGAAGAAAGGGTCATGGGTCAACAATCCAGCACAAACTCAATTTCGCCAAAATAGCACCTAAGGTCGGTTTTCGCAGAGCAGTGGTCATATGTGATATCAGACATTATCTTGGTAAAATTCAACTCGTGTTAGCCATTCTGCGAGTTATCATGGGAAGCGCGGTGTTCGAAATGCTAAAAATTTCCAAGTACGAATCGGGAGTAGTCGGCACACGACGCCGTCTCCTGTTCACACTCAAAATGCAGCTGTTTTGTACGCTTGCGTCCCCGTCTTCTACGCCCGTCTACGGTATGAAAAGTTGGATCGATCCAACTCTTCCCGTCGCTTCCCGATCTGTACGGCAGTACGGTTGCGTTCCCGTTCCTGGCGTTCACATTGGACGCCGTCAGACTGTCCCGTCGTTTCCCGTCGATCCTTACGTCGCGTCCCGTCGCGCCCCGTCGAATGTGAACTAGGCTTAACTCGTTAGATTTAGCACTTCGCTGTATATGTACTCCTGGTAATAGCTGTAATGCAGCCTGTCTTTCTACACTGGAACAGGAGCTACCGTATTTTCCGGAGTATAACTATAAGCCGCACTTTAAACACCAGTATTCACCCGAAAAAGTGTCAGTGTGCCTTATATACTACCATGGTCAAATTAACTGTGATCAACAGGGTACTCTAATTTCACAAATTTTCGGTGTACTTTTATTTTCGGTACTTTCGGTGCATCCCTGCTTCATACCTAAAATTTCAATACACCGAACAAACACTAACACACATAATCCAATAGGGAACTGCTTCTCTGTACCGAAAATTTCTGTTCACCTAACCTGGCCTTTTGCCCTCATACCGAAAATATTGAGCACCGAAAATTTCTGAAATTAGAGTAGATGTCTGTATTTTGTCCGGAAACTACTGTAAATTGTATCATTTGTCAGTGTATAAATGAGCACCACGCCGTTCTTCCCCTGTGCGTTTGTGTTCTGCAGAGGTCTGAGCAGCATTTTCTGTGCGGAGCATCCCGGAACCAATGTGGAGTTGTACTGTTGCGATGATAACCTGCCTGTTTGTGTCATGTGCATTGCCAACCTGGGCGCCTCTCAGAGCAAACATTTTGACCACAACGTCGTCCCAATCCAAACACAGGTGAGATAAGCTGTGGGTGGGTGGGTGGGTGTGGGTGGGTTGGTGTGGGCGTGGGTGGGTGTGGGTGGGTTGGTGTGGGTGGGTTGGTGTGGGTGGGTTGGTGTGGGTGTGGGTGGGGGGAGGGGGGGGGGGGGGGGGGGGTGCGTGACGCATGCTGCGGGTGCATACGGAATGCTGCTTATGTTTAATGGAAGTAACAGGTGGTAGAGAACTCACCAGCTACACCAGCTGGCAGTCTCAGTTTCGTTCACAGTATGTTTAGGTATTTTAGGATTCCGAAGACCCCTTCATCAGATGAATGGCACGTTCCAGTGTATCTATGCTAGTGCCCGAATGCAAGGTGGTATTTGCTCAGCTAGCCAGATGTGCTGGGGCGCCCTGAAGGATTGCATGGTAGTAAATACTCAGATGTGCTGGGGTGCCCTGAAGGATTGCATGGAAGTAAATACTCTTGGGGGAAGCCAGCTACACAGACAGAGAAGGGCAGATAACTGTTAAACTGTTTGACTCAGACTTTCAAGCATACTGCAATGATCGGACAGCACTAAATTGTTGTGCCTCCTCTTTTTCCCCACACATATACATTCTGTGTGACTCCTGTCACCATCTAAAGCGAAATGCAGGGGCAATATTGTTATTGTCTCCTTTATAAGATGTGTACGAATGCCCTGGCGTAATGCGGGACTGTCCGCAAGCAAACTTCAATTCCCCTTGGTTGAGCATCTCTTGTTTGTTAAATTGTTGTTTTTTATTGTCTGCTTGTTGTACGTTCAGCTCCCAAAGATGCGTGAAGAGGTTGCTGCTATGGAGAAAGACTTGGAGATACACACCCGAAGTCTGTCTGATGCCTTGTCGGTGAGGAGGAGTAACATAGTATTCACAATTTCACATGGTCCGGAAGTGTATGGTCGGTACAGTACCATTGATCCACCCCGAAACTCCACCATTTGAAGCGACTTCAGTGTGTCGCATTTTACCGGCTATAAATCGACCTTTTATGACCGAAAAATCGAACTTCAACCGGGGTCTTACTGCCAATGTCGAGGCCCAGAGTACACGGAGGGGTCCACTTATATAACCAATATAAATACAGTGCATGCCAGAATTATTATGTCAAACGAACCGGAGCATGCGCTGCTTGACGCAATACATATCAGTTCAGTGGGTCAACAGGGGGGGGGGGGGGTCAACGTTGTGGTATGTGTATTGTGTTGACTTACTCGTTTTGTGTTCAAGTTTCTGTATTTTTCCTGTCGGCTAGAACTTTGTGCGCTTTGTACCCATAGAACCTTTCTGGTATGCGAATACATTCTGTGTGGTGTAGTTTTCATTTTGTGGTCTGTTGGTCGCTTGCTAGTACTGATGTTGATGCTGGTGCTAGTACTGATGTTGATGCTGGTGCTAGTACTGATGTTGATGCTGGTGCTAGTACTGATGTTGATACTAGTAGTACTGATGTTGATGCTGGTGCTAGTACTGATGTTGATGCTGGTGCTAGTACTGATGTTGATGCTAGTAATACTGATGTTGATGCTGGTAGTTCTGATGTTGATGCTGGTGCTAGCGGCGGGTGGTCGTGCTGGTGCTGGCGCTGGTTCTGGTTCTGGTGCTTTTCCTGATCTTGATACTGTTTGTATGTGTTTGATGCCAATGTTGGCCGTTTTTGTTTTGTTTTTGTCGTTTGTTGCATGTATGTATGCTTTTTCGTGTGTGCCCAACAGCAAACTTCGTCGACTCTAAAAGATCTTAGGGAGTCCAGTCTGACTGTGATGGAGAATATCCACAAAAATTTTGTCCAGCTTCACCGTTGCCTTCAGAAAAGGTAGGCAGGGCTGTTAACGTAAATGTGTTTGGCTACAGTGCTTTTCAATATCGTAGATGCACAGTTCCCACCGTTTTGGCATGGTCCCGGCTTTAACAGGCACTTGTCTCCCGTTCTGAATGTATGCTACTGATTGGTGTGGGTGATGCACCACTTATGACAAGACTTCAACCCCCCCCCCCCCCCCCCCCACACACACACACACACAAATTGGAGTTGCGCACTTGGGCAACTGTAGGTCTTATTCGTGCGATAATTTTTGAAGTGAATTCGAAGTACTTCATGTCATAGATGTTGTATACTTCAAGGGAGCAATATTCAGCTGTGTCTCTGTCTCTTCTCTTTATGTTTTTGTTCTTGTGTGCACTGTGTCTATTTGTTGTGTGTGTGTGTGTGTGTGTGTGTGTGTGTGTGTGTGCGTGCGTGCGTGTGTGCATGCGCGTGTGTGTGTGTGTGTGTGTGTGTGTGTGTGTGCATGTATGCGTGTATGTATGCATGTATGTATGCATATATGTTTTGCAGAGAAGAAGAGCTACTTAGCGAAGCACATGACATGGTCCAGCGACAGGCTGATCCGGTGTTGGATGCACGCTTGGTGTTGGATAAGAAAATAAAGGATGCTGTCCGGGCAAGAGAATGTAAGATATGTGTGTGTGTGTGTGTGTCCAGTTTGTCCGCTATCGTCGCTAAAAGATTTGCGTGCATGGTGCATAGTGTGTGTGTGTGTGTGTGTGTGTGTGTGTGCGTGCGTGCGTGCGTGCGTGCATGGCTGGCTGGCTAGCTATGTGCAGAGTGTTGGTTCGGACTTTTCTCTCTTTCTGGTGCTTGTATTCACTGAATTGTGTGCGTGTTTTGTTGTCTTCATTCAGTGCACTGTACTCATGACCCGACTAGAATGGGTGTGCAATGTATAGTGCGCATGTATTCTCCAATGATTCTTTGTCTTGCTTGTTTCTCGTCCAATATTGACAGGGTGCAATCGTGCTGCAAGAACAGACGATGAAGCAGTGCTAAGGAAGGCCTTCGTGGTAATAGAGAACAGGCAGTGTTTTTTGTTTGTTTTTGTTTTGTTTCTGGGATGTCCTGTAAATTGATTGTGTCTGGTAAATGCTAAAACTCGCACTGGTCCAAGTCCGGCCAACCGCGGCTGTCCTTGTAGCTGTCCTGGTCTACCTGTTAAATTATGGATATCCTATGTTATGCTATGTTCGGCAATACCCTCATGTTTTTTTCTGGGAGTGTTGCATGCGCTGAAAAACTGGGCCTGGCACATCAGACTTGCTACACCCCTTCCTTCGTCTACTGTACTTGTGCTTCTTTCGTAGCATGATGTACCCGCTGCTCTGCATGCCAGAGCCTTTGCTGGACGGAGAGCTTGTTCGCTCCTCCCCGGAGTTTCAGTGCAACGCACTGTCCATGTTATTAACGCGGTGTGCGTGTTGTGCTGTTCTACCGCCTGTTCCGCTTTCACGATGTCAGAATGCATGAAAGCTGGACAGTTTTCATCCTAAAATGTATGTTTAGCAGTGTTGGATTGCGCATGCCTTCTTCTATTCGTCCAGTCCCTCTCTTGATTTCTTCCTTCTGTTCCCTTCCTTCAGTTTTCCAAGCAACAGATTGGCGACCGCAAGACTGCCCAGGCTGTGTTCAGTGAAGACACCACCTACCCCTTTAGGTAAACAAATTTCAATGTTATTTCCTGGAGTAGATCTGCCTGACTACCCTCGACTTGTTCAAGCAAATTGTGGCCTATGTATCGATTTCCTGGCATTGCCAATAGCTGAGCCTGCTTGTCTTTGCGGTACGTTGCATCATGTTCAGGTTCTCGATTGATGAGGACTTCCATCACGTTCTGTCTTCGGCTGCTGACTTATCAGGTGGTACAACACCCCGGTAGGTAATCAGCGTAGTACACTAGTAGTACAGTCATGTAGTAGTAGTAGTGCCGGTGCATGGGTGGTAAGTACATGTAGGTATGTACATGTAGGTATGTGGTGGGTAAGTAGGTAGGTATGGGGTAGGTAAGTGGGTAGGTATGTACATGTAGGTATGGGGTAGGTAAGTAGGTAGGTATGGGGTAGGTAAGTGGGTAGGTATGTACATGTAGGTATGGGGTAGGTAAGTAGGTAGGTATGGGGTAGGTAAGTGGGTAGGTATGTACATGTAGGTATGGGGTAGGTAAGTAGGTAGGTATGGGGTAGGTAAGTGGGTAGGTATGTACATGTAGGTATGGGGTAGGTAAGTAGGTAGGTATGGGGTAGGTAAGTGGGTAGGTATGTACATGTAGGTATGGGGTAGGTAAGTAGGTAGGTATTGGGTAGGTAAGTAGGTAGGTATGTACATGTAGGTATGGGGTAGGTAAGTAGGTAAGTACTAGGTAGATACTACATTATAGAGGGGAATTCCAACCAGTCGCTGAGAACGCGGGGGGGGGGGGGGGGAGGAGAAGGGGGAGGTGGGAATTTTCTCTTGGTGTATGGATTTTGTGATGAGGGGGGGGGGGTAGATGCCCGCGAGGACTCTTCTCGAGCATCGCACACACAAACGACTTTGCATAGCATGGTCCGAGTAGTTCCACTGCTCATCCTGCAATAGCTGACGTACTTATTCACTAATGGACACATACCATGTAACTACTTCAGGCCAGTACAACGGGCAAAATAAACACAAGCGCAACCTCAACAGAGAGAAAATGAGCTGAACTGGCTGTGAAAACAGTCTTATACGGAAGGAGCTATTAAAAAAGGGCTCTGAAAACAGTCTATTAGGAGGGAGCTAAAATGGCTGTGAACACAGTCTAATGCTGGGTCAGACGAGCCTCAGCCTGGACGAGGTCGATAGGCGCAAGGTCGACGTGACGACGGCGAACGGAGCGTGATCCTCGAACACACCGGCTGGCAGACCTGGCAAAAGAGAAAGCCAAGCAGCAACACATCCAACAAACGACTTTGCTGTAGCTCTACTTTCGCTTAGAAGCAAGAGCATCAGCAATCCGCTTGACTGCGATGTTTGCCTCTGGACCCATTCCCCCACAAGAGGAGAAGACCAGCGGTGTAAACGAGCCATGTTCAACTTAGTTGACTCTCTCGCCATACTCCCGCTTCTTGGCACCTTCCAACTTGCGATAAACAGCTGCAATGGGCTTGGACCATAGCTCGATGCGTGGGGATAAAACACCCTCGTATCAAAGAATGCATTGCGGCTTTGGTTCCAAAAGCCCCGCACCCGGATGTCTGCTCGCGCATCGGACTCAACGTTGGCAGTACGGTAGCGAAAGGTTTCACCGGTGATGGGTTGCAGCGTCGGCTCAACTTCCACATCGTTGCGGATCTCTTTCAAGCATGAGGCTAGGAAATCGGTGACCTCATCATGGCGCATATGAATGAAGCCCGACCGCTTACATTTCTGGGCATGGTCCACAGTGAACCGCTCTCCACAGGGCCAGGTAGCCGGTAGCCTGTCCAAGGCCAGTACATCTGCTGCATACAAAGACAGGAATGTAGATATTGCACTATCATGTGACAGCCACCGGCCTTACAACGGCTCTGCAAGCTTCACGGACGGATCGTTTAAGAGTGAGTGAATTGTATGCAGACGAGCTTCGCGGACGGGTGAATTATATCAGTATCGGTAGACTCCACACCTAGTGCAGGCTCGAGTCTACACAGTAGCACTACCCACCAATACCCAACAATACCCAGCATTTGCTACAGCAGCTGTGGTTGTGAAAGCTTTTCCATGCACTTCTTGGTGGATCCACTTCATTAACGGGAGTTCTCGTTGAAGCTGTGTGGCTAATCCGTTGATGCGGCCTGCGAATGTGCATGCCGCGTCTGACCCAAGATGGCACTGGCTGAGGTTGACTCCAGTGCTACTTTCCCAGTCCTTGGTGGCTGTTATGATGTTGTCGGCACTGCACTCTTCACTCAGTGTCAGTACACCTCTGATGCACACTATGACACAGGCATATCCCTCACACAGCCGTAGGCGTATGATAAGCTGCAATATGTTACCGATGTCCTTTGACTCGTCAGCAGCAATGCTCGAGTTTACACTACCCGCCAATACCCAACAATACCCAGCATTTGCTACAGCAGCTGTGGTTGTGAAAGCTCTTTCATGCACTGCTTGGTGGATCCACTTCATTAACGGGAGTTCTCGTTGAAGCTGTGTGGCTAATCCGTTGATGCGGCCTGCGAATGTGCATGCCGCGTCTGACCCAAGATGACACTGGCTGAGGTTGACTCCAGTGCTACTTGCCCAGTCCTTGGTGGCTGTTATGATGTTGTCGGCACTGCACTCTTCACTTAGTGTCAGTACACCTCTGATGCACACTATGACACAGGCATATCCCTCACACAGCTGTAGGTATATGATAAGCTGCAATATGTTACCCATGTCCTTTGACTCGTCAGCAGCAATGCTCGTGAATGTGCAGCTCTTCATCTCAGACTTCCTAGTGCTGTAGGAGCACACCATGAGGAGCCTGTGGATAATCGTCTCTCGCATCACTGCTAGTCTACTGGGCAATTCTGGCACGGCGTCCGTTGGAATCATCAACACTTGCGCCATCATGGAAGTCGCCTGTGAGACCCTGCCAATTGCCTATAGCAATGTCTTCTTTGGCTATCCAATACAAGCCTTTCATCAGCTTTGTGGGTGGGTGGGTAGGTAGGTGGGTGGGTGGGTGGGTGGGTAGGTAGGTAGGTAGGTAGATGGGTGGGTAGGTAGGTAGGTAGGTAGGTGGGTAGGTAGGTAGGTAGATGGGTGGGTGGGTAGGTAGGTGGGTAGGTGAGTGGATAGATGGGTGGGTGGGTAGGTAGGTGGGTGGGTAGGTAGGTAGGTAGATGGGTGGGTAGATGGGTAGGTAGGTAGGTAGTAGGTACATGCACAAGGTAGATACATGCACAAGGTAGATTTTGCACTTGCCGGCTATTGTGCGGTGTCATGGCCTTGTACCATGTTTTTCATACTTCTGTATCAATCTCTCATCCCACCCTACTGCCTTCTTGTCATGTAAATTGCTTTCTCTGCAGTGTCTCGGTGGTGGCAGTCGCATTGGATGATGCCGTTGATCCCAGCACGGGTCAGAAATATGTTTCTTCTCACTTCAGCTCCAGTAGCGGTTGTAGCAGCAATACTGGCAGTGCCACAAAGGAAGAAACCACTGTTGTTGGTGCTGCTGATATTGCAGTGAACAATCATTCAGACAGCCAAGGACGCACTGAGGAGATGGCTGCTGAAATGCAGCGGTCGGCCTTGGATGATTTGGAGGGTTTGGACCGTGATAACTCCAGCGAGAAGAATGGCAACGTTGAGGATGAGTGCATTGTAAGTGTGGTGTACCTGGTGTTTCAGTGCAATGACTTGACGATGTTGATAATAACGTTTTAAGTGCTGCATGCGGTGGTACGTGGACAGTGGAATTTCCCCAAGAAGATACACCTGCATCTGCTGTGCACATGTTGGCACTGCTCGATGTGTTTTCTTGTTTATTTATTCTAGCACCCCGTACAGTGGCCAAGAATTTGTGTTCGAGAGGGCATGGCATGAGTTTCTTTGACTTGCGACTTGCAAACACTTCCCTCGGTGCGTGTTTGTTGGCCTGTGCTGTGCATGTCTTTTCTTGACCTTATTTGTGCAACCCTGCTCTTGTTTGCCAGACTGTATTCAGTGTGCAACCCTGCTCTTGTTTGCCAGACTGTATTCAGTGTGCAACCCTGCTCTTGTTTGCCAGACTGTATTCAGTGTGCAACCCTGCTCTTGTTTGCCAGACTGTATTCAGTGTGCAACCCTGCTCTTGTTTGCCAGACTGTATTCAGTGTGCAACCCTGCTCTTGTTTGCCAGACTGTATTCAGTGTGCAACCCTGCTCTTGTTTGCCAGACTGTATTCAGTGTGCAACCCTGCTCTTGTTTGCCAGACTGTATTCAGTGTGCAACCCTGCTCTTGTTTGCCAGACTGTATTCAGTGTGCAACCCTGCTCTTGTTTGCCAGACTGTATTCAGTGTGCAACCCTGCTCTTGTTTGCCAGACTGTATTCAGTGTGTAACCCTGCTCTTGTTTGCCAGACTGTATTCAGTGTGGAACCCTGCTCTTGTTTGCCAGACTGTATTCAGTGTGCAACCCTGCTCTTGTTTGCCAGACTGTATTCAGTGTGCAACCCTGCTCTTGTTTGCCAGACTGTATTCAGTGTGTGTTGTCTTGCATCCTGCCTCTGCTTTCTGCAGGAATCGGCACTATCGCCATTGCCAGATCTTTCGCCTAGCGTGGAAGAAAGCATGCAATCAGTTGGTGCAGTCACTCCTCCGCTGGCTTTGTCTGCAGCGGCGGCTCGCGCACATCATTATGCACTACCAACAGACCCTGTCCAGGACAAGCGGGGTATCAGTAGCCAACCGGCAGCCCAGGACGACTCAATGCCACCACTGCTTACACTACAGCAGCCCGCCGCTGTAAAGACAGAAGCGACCGGTGCCAGTGCGTCCGAAAGTCTGCACGATGCCCTTCGCTGTCACCTTGCCAACATGCAGAACCCAGCCCAGCA